CCCCAACCCCCCACCAAGTTGTAAAGTTCACTGTCCCTGATCTTCTTCTGCTCAAGGCTGGTGCTCTACCACTTGAGCCACAGTGCCACTTCTGGGTTTTTCTGCTTATGTGACACTGAGGAATTGAACCCAGGGCTTCATGCATGCTAGGCTAGCACTCTACCACTGAGTCACCTTCCCAGCCCTCATACAGTTCTAATATTTATGTGTTATTCAGGAACTTGATGAATATGTATTTTCTTCAGTAATTCTTCACATAGTCTTGGTACTGAGTTGGTGCTTATGCTCTGCAATGAATAAGACAGATAGTAGTCTTGTGTTTACTAAATAATTGACCTATTTCCTAGAAATTAGGCAGTAAAAAAGTTAACAAAAGTATGTGGTTTTTGATAGTAAGTATAAAGTATGGAGTGTGAGAATATATGGTAAATGGATTTAAAGATTTATTCTCATAATGTTACTCTTTGTCTGTTTGAAGAAATGAAATGCAGGGGTTACACTAAGAAAGTTCTGTTCTATTTTTTATTTCTTTGTTGATCATGGGGCTTGAACTTGGGGCCTGGGTGCGAGCCCTTTTTACTCAAGGCTAGAGCTCTACCACCTTGAGCCACAGTGCCACTTCCAGTTTTCTGGTGGTCAATTGGAGATAAGAGTCTCATGTACTTTCCTACTTAGGCTGGCTTTGAACTGTGGTTGTCACATCTCAGCCTTCAGAGTAGCTAGGGTTACAGGCATGAGCCACCAGTGCCTAGCTTGACAGTACTGTTTTAAATATGGTTGTCTGTGTTTTTACTAACTCAATGACTTGTGTATTTGAGGACTCTTAGGCTTCTTGTCTTGATTTCCATGTTACTATTTGATTAGGAAGTATTTCTATATGGAGAACAGCTAATAACGTAAGTTGCTTTACTTAAATAAAACTAGGATCTACTTTTTACCATTATTTCTGCCTTTTAGAATTTTTTTTAATGTCTCCAGAATTTACTGAAGTGCCTTGCATTTGTTTAGTTACTTGTTCACTATTTGATGAATAAAAAACATTTGCTTGTGGAATTATATTGTTAATGCTTCAAATCTCCAAAATTATCCTAAAATACTTAAAATGAAACTTGGTATCTGCATGTTTTATTAGTACTGCTAGATTCTTAATTTACTTATGAGATCCTGGTGTTGGTGATTCTTATGTTAGAGAAAACAAAAGGTATTTTAGTAGGTATACTTGGTTCACGTACCTGTAATATGATGTCTCTTGAGTCTGATTCTGTCTAAATATACTACTACCACATTTATTTGGCATTTATACTTTCATATACTTATCTTAAAAATATGAATAGCCCATAATTAAACATTTTTAATATTTGTTTTTCTTAAGTACAAAGGGGTTTCAATTCTAGAGGTCAGGTTTTGTGTCTTTATTAATGTCAGCCCTTCTATCTCACATTACTTTCTAACAGGCAATCTTGATTTTCTCACTTTTTATCTTAAGCAGGATTGCTTTACAGTGGAGGGGGAAGATTTGCGGCATGACTTTGAACGCTTACAGTTGGCCATGGAAATGGTAGGATTTCTTCCCAAGACGAGAAGACAGTGAGTTTATTATATTATTTTATCTCTAGTAGGATTCCTTATCTGTTTCAACACCCAACAATCTTAAGTGTTGTTTTGAGGTTTCTTTTTTGTTGTAGTTGGTAGTGGGGCTTGAACTCAGGGCCTGGGCACTATCCCTGAGCTCTTTTGCACAAGGCTAGTGTTCTACCACTTGGAGCCATAATGCCACTTCCGGTTTTTGAGGGGTTAATTGGAGATAAGAGTCTCATGAGGAGTTTTCTGCCCTGGCTGGGGGACATGATCCTCAGATTTCAGCCTGAGTAGCTAGTGTTACAGGTGGAAGCCCTGGGAGCCACTGGCCTCTGGCTTTGAGTTTTTTGGTCATCAGTTCTTGAAAGTCTGATGAAAGCTGGAAATCTTTTTTTATATCCACAAATATTTACCTCTATGACTTGGAATTCATGGTGTCCCCAAAGCCTAACCATGGACATTCCTTTAAACACTGTGACTTTACACCACTAATTTTATAGGTCTTCATTTTTTGTATCACTGATCTCTTAAATTGTATCAAGGCCTAGGTACATATTCCCTTTGAATATTTAACATATGTGTGTACTGTTGTGTTAAAAAAATTCTTTACTGTAGCAGGGCTCTGGTGGCTCATACCTGTCACACTAACCACTAAGGAGGCTGAAATCTGAGGATCTGGGTTCAAAGCCAGCCTAAGCAGAAAAGTCTAACAGTTTTCCTCTTCAGTTAACCAGGCTGAGCTAGGGGTGTGGCTCAAGAGGTAAGAAGCTCAAGGCCTCTAGTTCAAATATCAGTACTGGCAAAAATAAAGTATTTGTGAAAGTAAAAGCAAAATTCAAATGTAAAAAGTTCATGATAAAAGTAGTAAATTAGGGCTGGGAAGGTGGCTCAGTGGTAGAGCACTTGCCTTGCGTGCTTGAGGCCCTGGGTTCGATTCCTCAGCACCACATAAGCAAAAAGAAAAAAGCCGGAAATGGCGCTGTGGCTCAAGTGGTAGAGTGCTAGCCTTGAGCTGAAGAGCTGAGGGACAGCACCCAGGCCCAGAGTTCAGGCCCCACAACCGGACCCAAAAATAAAAAAATTTAAAAAAAAGTAGTAAATTATATTTAAAGTAAACCACACTAAGATTAAAGATAAAATCTGGAATCTCAGAGAAATTCTTTCTTTCTCTCTCTCTCTCTCTCTTTCTTTCTTTCTTTCCCTTCCTTCCTTCCTTCTTCCTTCCTTCCTTCCTTCCTTTCTTGTTGTTGTTGTTGTTGTTTGTGGGGCTTGAATTTGGCCTGAGTGCTGTCCCTGAGCACTTCAGCTCAAGCTGAGCACTGTATCACTTGAGCCCACAGTGTCACTGCCAGTTTTCTGGTGGTTAATTGGCGATAAGAGTCTCACGGACTTTCCTGACCAGGCTGGTTTTGAACCACAATCCTCAGACACAGCTTCCTAAGTAGCTAGGATTATAGGCCTGAGCCACTGGTGCCTAGCTGAGAAAAAAATTATTCTTTTTTTTTTTGTTGGTCGTGGGGCTTGAACTCTTGGCTTGGGCGCTGTCCCTGTGTTCTTGAGCTTAAGGCTAGCTCTCTACCACTTGAACCACAGCGTGACTTCTGGTTTTCTGGTGGTTAATTGGAGATAAAAGTCTTCACGGATTTTGCTGCCCAGCTTGGCTTTGAACTGCAATCCTCAGATCTCAGCCTCTGGTTGTAGCTAGGATTATAGGTGTGAGCCACCAGCTCCTGGCAAGAAAATAATTCTTTAGAAATTGTTTTTCTTTTTGAGGGAGAATAGAGTCTTACTAGGTTTTGCTAGCTAGAATTTTGGAATGAAGTGCATGGTGTCACTGGTGCTTTTGTTTCCACAGGATTTTCTCTCTCCTCTCAGCAATACTACATCTGGGTGATATCTGCTATAAGAAGAGGACGTACCGTGATGACTCCATCGATATCTGCAACCCTCAAGTGTTGCCTATTGTCTCGGAATTATTAGAAGTGAGTGATTACATTTTGTTGTAATTTTAAATACTGGTTAACTTTTTTTTTTTTTTTTTTTTTGGGTCCGGTTGTGGGGCCTGAACTCTGGGCCTGGGCGCTGTCCCTCAATTCTTCAGCTCAAAGCTAGCGCTCTACCACTTGAGCCACTGCACCACTTCCAGCTTTTTTCTTTTTACTTATGTGGTCCTGGGGAATCGAACCCAGGGCCTCAGGCATGCAAGGCAAGTGCTCTACCACTGAGCCACCTTCCCAGCCCAACTTCTTATTTTTTTATTTTGTTAAATATTTTAGTTGGTTAATAACTTTTTTTTAGGGGGGGGGTCCGGTCGTGGGGCCTGAACTCTGGGCCTGGGCACTGTCCCTCAGCTCTTCAGCTCAAGGTTGGCGCTCTACCACTTGAGCCACAGTGCCACTTCCAACTTTTTTCTTTTTGCTTATGTGGTGCTGAGGAATCGAACCCAGGGCCTCATGCATGCAAGACAAGCGTTCTACCACTGAGCCACCTTCCCAGCCCCGGTTAATAACTTTTTAAAATAATGATTTTATTACCTTTTTGGGGCAGTTCTGGGGTTTGAATTAAGGGCCCTCCTGTTCACTAAGCAGGTAAGTTTCCACAGAGCCATACCTCCAGCACCTCTCCTTCCTGCTCTTGCTTCTTGCCTTCTCCAGGTTATAGACCTGGGCTTCCCATTGTAGCTGTTTATTTATCTCTTGTCTATTTTGGGCTTCCTGTTATAGTTGGTTCATGTTATTAAGTTCATGTTATTGTGCTCAGCTCCTGGTTGAGAAACAAGGATGTTCCTTCCAAATAACTAGGATTACAGCTGTAGCTACATGTTCCTGGCTGTATACCTCCCTCCTCTCCCTTCCTCCTCCCCTGAATGTGTGCTTGCTAAGCAGTTGCTTTATCACATATCCAACCTTTTTTTGGATTGGCTGTTTTTACAGGGGGGGGTCTTACTTTATGCCCCAGTTGTCTTGAACTATGACCTCCAACTTGTGTTTCTCCACATTGCTAAGATTGACAGGCACAGAGCCTCTGTTCCATTGTTTTTTTTTCTTTCTGTAATTGGAACAAAAAGTTAACACTTGCACCATTGTGCCTAAACCATTGGTTCAGATAGAGACTTATATTATGCCCAGACTGTTTTTTTTTTTTTTTTGTTGATTGTGGGGCTTGAACTCTGGGCCTGGGCACTGTTCTTCAGCTCAAGGTGAATGCTCTACCGCTTGAGCCACAGCGCCACTTTTGGTTTTCTAGTGGTTTATTGGAGATAAGAGTCTCACAGACTTTCCTGCCCTGGCTGGCTTTGAACCGCGATCCTCAGATCTCAGCCTCCTGAGGATTACAGGTGTGAGCCACTGGCACCTGGCCCCAGACTGGTTTTGAACCATATTCTCTAATTCTCTGCCTCCCAAGTGGCTAGGATTAAAAGATTGATTAGCCATGCCTGAATATTCTTTTTTTAAAATAGTGTTTCCAAAAGATGAAATTTTTCTTGACATTTGTCTTTCTTTATTATAGACTGTGGCAGGACTTTTAGAAGTTTTATGATTTCTCATCTGCTTCTACTTTGCTTCATGATCCATCATGCCTCAATTCATGTTTTCACTTTAGATTGTGTAATGTTTTGAGGCTATGGTAATTTTTCTCTTTTCTATTTGAGATATCATCTTATACTAAAATTTAGGGTTGATTATTTTATTTGAAGTATCCTAACAGATGAGATCAGGGTCTTTTCTATTTTTTCTTCTGGAGTGGTTTGTCATGCTTTCCCATCTTCTTTTCCCAAATTATCTCTTTCCATCAGAGAGAATATTGTTTCCTTTATGTACTTTCATCTGGCAGATTATGGAATTATGTGTCTCTCTTTTTTTGAAATGTTAATATTTTATTAGATTCAGTGAACAGTATACCACATTACTTGAAAAGTATGTAAATGAAAAAAAATTGAGATGCTTGGTATTCTTACTATAGATGGTCTTTGTGTATGTTTTTCCATTACAAGACATCTCCATTTGTTCTATTATTTATTTTTTCTAAACTTTCAATTTAATAACGTTTTCTTCTTTTTCTTAGTTTGTGCAGTTTTTTCGCCTCAGTGTACTATGATTATAGTATATTAAGATACAAATAAGAAAATTTGGTGTTGTTGGTACAGAGTATGATTTTTTTAAAAAAAATGCACGAATGCACCAACAATAATGTTAAACAATGAAATAACACATTTGAGGATATAATATAAATTTTTCCTTAAAAAGTTAAATTATTATGAAAACTATGTAAATCAGCATGAGTTTGTCAGAAAAATGAGTACTAAGATGGAAATAATTTATAAAATAACATCACTAATATAATACACTAATAAGAAACTGCTCCATTGCTCCCCCATCTTCCCTTGTAAAGAATTTGCTCTTTGTAATAACCATCAGGTGGGTCCCTTCCCTGGTAACCAGTAGACTATTAGATGTCCCCAGAATTTGGGCCATCTCCTGGCAGCCTTTGCCTTGTCTAGCCTACAGTTAATTCTTCCCATGACCCATTATAACAAGTCTGAGAGAATGCCACTTGGTTGCCATGTCTCAAAGTATATGCAAGAGGACAGGAGCCCACTTCTCTAGGTGGTGGCCGCCAGGTCTGTAGATAGTAATTATCTCAAACTCATAATTTGCATTAGTGTGGAGAAGAAGGGGAAGGAGGGTTAGTTGCCCAAGCCTGCAAGCTCTTGGTGGTGTTGGATATTAGACAGCAGTGGCACCATCTGCTTTGTTGTGGGGTTATCCAAGGGTCAAGGCACCCAGCCCTTCATAGGGCAGGCTCCACATCTTCAAGTTGCACTTCTTCAAAACCTTGCTGCTGGGGATGGGAAGGTGGCTCAGTGGTAGAGTGCTTGCCTTGCATGCATTAGGCCCTGGGTTCAATTCCTCAGCACCACATAAGCAAAAAGAAAAAAGCTGTGGCTCAAGTGGTAGAGCGCTAACCTTGAGCTGAAGAGCTGAGGGACAGCGCCCAGGCCCAGAGTTCAGGCCCCACGACTGGACCCAAAAAATAAAAATAAAAAAACAAAACCTTGCTGCTCCATCTTTATGGGGCCCGACAGGTCTGAGGGTGGCCTCAGCAGTAGGGATCTGGGTGGCTGCCAGGACCTTGTTCTGACTGCAAGGTACAATCACAATTCTTGCATCTCCTTTTTCCTTTTCTGCTGGGACAGTGGACACACTGGTCTTTTTCCTGATACAGCTCATCAGGACTGCCATCTATTCTTGTGTCTTTTTTGTTTTTGTTTTTTGTGGGTTTTTTTTTGGTGATTTTTTTTTAAATTTTATTTTTTTGTGTGTGTGTTTATGTGGTACCAAGGAATTGAACCCATGCCTTTGCCATCTATTCTTTATAGAATATGATGCACTCTTCAGTGGTGGTCATGTATTCTGACAGCTGGCTGCATCCAAATGTGGAGTTTAGCCATTTGATTCTGGTAGCTCACCTTGTCAGGCAGGTTGTGATTTTCAGCTTCTTTTGGCCACCTGTGTGAGTTGCTTTCTGCCCCCAGACATGCCATGGTTCCAGCTCTTGGGGAAGAGGGCCTGGTGCTCCAGTTTTATCTGGCACTGGGCTTCTAGGTTTGCCAGGCATCCACGGTGGGCACTGCTGGCTGTGCTGCATCTTCTTTAATTCAGCAATGGATAGAGCCTGAAGGTAAAAATCCCACATGGTTTGTGGGTTGTCTACATCCTCTGGGATAGTTACATCATGGGGAGTTGCCCCCTTACCCATTTGTTGTTTGCTCACTCCTCCACCTTCCCTCGGAAAAGCCAGGGAGCTCAGCTGGGCCCACAGCTGCTTGTTCTTATGTCTTGTTGCTTTCAGGCACTTTACTTTGTCCTGTAACTTTGAGGCACTATCTGGTCCCCCAATTTGCTCTGTACCTGCTCCTACTTCAGTTACTGCCACAGCTAGGTGTACCTCAGCAGGTGTTGCTGCAGGGTCTCCTTCTCTGAGATCAGTTGCTGATTGAAGGCCATGTTCTGTTCACAGGTGGCTCTGAGCTCCTGCAGCTAGGCCAGGTACTGATCATAAAGTTCCTGCAGACTGATTTGCTTGGCTCTTTTTTTTTTTTTTTTTGGTCGGTCATGGGGCTTGAACTCTGGGCGTGAACGCTGTCCCTCAGCTCTTCAGCTCAAGGGTAGCACTCTGCCACTTGAACCACTGTGCCACTTCTTTTTCTGAGTGGCTTATCAGAGATAAGAGTCTCATGGCCTTTCCTGTCTGGGCTGGCTTTGAACCTCGATCCTCAGATCTCAGCCTCCTGAGTAGCTAGGATTACAGGCGTGAGCCACTGGAGCCCGGCTTCACCTCTATTCTTGCAATCACCACCAACTAGGTCTACTTCCTGTAGGAAGTAGGCTCAGTTGGCTCATCTGCTTCAAGACCTGCTGGACCTGCTCCTTCCATATGGAACTCTACACTGTCAAGTTCTCCATAAAGTTGTTTCTCTCCAACTTTAATGTGGTCACCAACTCTTTCATGTTATCAAGTTGTCTTCCCAACTTTGCCTGCTCCTCTAGTGCTTGTAACTCGTGAATTTTGATCATTATGTTAGCCTTCTGTGTCAGGAGCAATTCTAGCCTCTCCTGCAGCTTGGTTTTCTCTTCCTTCAGGTCATCATAGCTAATGGTCTTTTCCTGGAGCTGCAGCTTCATGTTATTAAGGTTGTTCTTGATGGTTTCCTTCTGTGTGGTGGATGCTGCAAGATAATGTCATTTCTATCTCTGTGATGCTCTGCTGTGAAGCTAGCAGGTGGCTGGCAAGACCTTCCTGCTCCAGTTCTTGTTTATTGGCCACCTGCTGCATGCAGGTCAGGGCAGATTGTAAATTAAATTTTTCTGAAACCAACATCTGTTTCAATAACTTGTGGAGCTCCAGCTCTGTTTTCAGTGCTTTCTGCACAGAAGTCATCTTCTCATTCTCTTTCCTCTGTTGATCCTGAAGGTCTTTCTTTTCTTGATTCACTTCAGAGCTGCTGGTTTTGTACTCTGCTGGAATCCAGGGCAAGCATCAGGTGTTGGTAGTGCCTTTCCAGATCCTCAGTGTTACTGGACCATGTGACACTCCTGACCATGGCATCTCTGACTGTACCCAAAGGCAGGGGAGGCTCAGGGTCAGTGTAGTCTTTGTCTGCATCCTCATTTGAATTACAGTCCCCAGTGGTATTGTCTTCAGGTTACCTCCCTTTTTAGTTTGTTTCTTTTTCTTGGATTCTGCAGATATGGCAAGACAATTCCTGTGCTAGTATTCTTGCAGTAGTTTCTTTCCTGTGGTTTTTTTTTTTTTGGCTGGTCCTGGGGCTTGAACTCTGGGCTTGGGCGCTGTCCCTGCACTCTTCAGCTCAAGGGGAGTGCTCTACCACTTGAGCCACAGCATCACTTCCGGTTTTCTAGTGGTTTATTGGAGATAAGAGTCTCACGGCCTTTCCTGCCCAGGCTGGCTTTGAACCATGATCCTCAGATCTCAGCCTCCTGAGTAGCTAGGATTACAGGTGTGAGCCATCCGAGTCCGGCGGAAATGGCTTTCTTAGTGAGAGTACAATGCTTATGGATAGTTCTTGTTTTGCTTTTAGTCCTATAAATTCCATTCATTTTCAAGATTACTTATATCTTCACTTTTTCCTCCCATCTCCTTTATTGAGATTATTGGTTATATTTGTTATGTATTCACCATCATCATCTCATATAGAATACTACTGTATTCTACCCCTCTCTCTCAACACTGACAACCAGTGATCCTTTTAGTAGCTGTATAGATTTGTCCTTTCTGGAATGTAAAATAATTAGAATCATATAATCTTTTACATTTTCAGATTGACTTATGTTACTTGGGAACATGCATTTAAAATGGATTCATGTCTTTTTTTTTTTTTTTTGTCGGTTGTGGGGCCTGAACTCTGGGCCTGGGCACTGTCCCTCAGCTCGTCAGCTCAAGTCTAGTGCTCTACCTCTTGAGCCACAGCACCACTTCCAGCTTTTTCTGTTTCTGTGGTGCTAAGGAATCGAACCCAGGGCCTCATGCATGCAAGGCAAGCACTCCACCACCGAGCCAACCTCCCAGCCCCAGGATTCATGTCATTTTGTGGCTTAATACAGAACATTTGTTTTTATTATCTTTGGGTAATAGTTTCCTTGTATGGTTAAACTGTAGTTTGTTTAGTAGGTATTCACCTGTTGAAGAACATCTTGCTTATTTCCAGTTTTTGGCAACCATGAATAAGATGCTGTGATACTTAAAAATTAAACATCACTCATCTTTCATTCCTTGGTTCATGAACCACTTCATGGAGTTTAACCTTAATGTCTAAACTGACTCCCTGTGCATTGAAATATTTACTTCTACTTGGTGTGTAAGGTTAGATTTTTGTAGCATGAAGTTAATTGTTTACTAATTGGGTCCATTATAAGGTTGTGGTGTTATTTAGGAGCAGTGAATGCTTCTTTCTTATTTATTTAACTATACAGTGTTTATTTTTTTTTCTACATGTGACTGGACTTTGCTTATTAATGGAATGACATCCTGGCTGGCACAAGGGGCATGAGAAAAGGGAGTACTTTGAGTTTGAAGTAAACTCGCTCACTGGAATGAATTTCTTCTAGGAGATGAACTGTGGTGTCTGTAGGTTGTGGTTTTTGAAGGTCGTGAAGGTCAAAGCATAGATGGTATTTGACTTCAGGCATTTCAGGTGATATTTTTGCCAAGCATTTGGTATTGTGATAATGCAGGACATTGTGACTGGTGTTCCTATTTTAAATCCATACATCCAGTAAAGTACCCAAGGCTTTTGGTACTTGACAGTATAACACAGTGTGTGTGATTATGGTTAATCCACACAAATAGGTAGAAACAAGACTGAAATGACAATGTCATGACCCTGATAGTGTTTGCTTTTGAAGAAGGAATGAGAACCAAGCAAGTGGCGTCCTTATTTTAAAACCTAGTATCCATTAAAAGAAAAAAAAAAAACCAAGCATCCATTAAAAAAAAATGCTGGGTGCCAGTGCCTCTTACCTGTAATCCTAGCTACTTAGGAGGCTGCGATCTAAGGATTGCAATTTGAAGCCAGCCTGGGCAGAAAAGTCCCCATGGGACTTTTTTTATTTTTTGGTTGGTAGTGGAGCTTGAACTCTGTTCCTGAGCTCCTCAGCTCAAGGCAAGAGCTCTACCACTTGAGCCACAGCACCACTTCTGGAGAGAAGAGTCTCATGGACTTTCCTGCTCAGGCTGGCTTTGAACCTTGATCCTAAGATCTCAGCCTCCTGAGTAGCTAGGATTAAAGGCCTGAGCCTCTGGCACCCAGCTCCCTTGAGACCCTTCAGTTAACCAATAAAAAGCTGGAAATTGTGATGTGACTCAAGTGGTAGAGTGCTGGCCTTGAGCACAAAGAGGCTTAGGGACAGCACTCATATCCTGAGTTCAGGCCCTGCAACCAACCAAAACAAAACAACAACAACAAAAAACACCAAAAAAAACCCCTGAAACATAGTAATAAATACATTTAGGACCACTCCTTTAATTCAAGATGTTCTTTCATATTTTAGTCCTTATCTCTAGCTTATGTGATTATGATGATTGTCTAAATTTTGTATGTGTGTGTTTTCTATATTCTTGAAGATGAAACAGTTTCTCCATTAAGATCAGGAGGAAATTTTTTTTCCCATAATGCTAGGATTAGATCCAGGGCCCAGTATATATGCTAGGCAAGCACTTTTAGCTATTCAGCTAAACCTGAATCTTGGAAGCAAACTATAATTTAGAAATAGCTGTATATCTATCTTACTGACTTCATTTTCTTTTTTGGGAAATAATCTGTGAGTGGACTACTGAGCTTCCTTTTTTTTTGGCAGGGGGAGGGTCGTGGGGCCTGAATTCTGGGCCTGGGTGCTGTCCCTCAGCTCTTCAGCTCTAGGCTAGCACTCTACCACTTGAGCCACAGTGCCACTTCCAGCTTTTTCTGCTTATGTGGTGCTGAGGAATCAAACCCAGGGCCTCATACATGCAAGGCAAGCACTCTACCACTGAGCTACCTTCCCAGCCCTGAGCTTCCATTTTGTCGAGTATGTCTTCTTTGTTTCTTTTTCTGTATTGTGTATTTCCTATTATTATTAGGCTTTTCCTTTATTTAACTTTTCCATAAGATAATTCAATCTTTTGTCATAAACCTTACACAGAATTTTCCTTTTTGTTTTATAGGTGAAAGAAGAGATGTTATTTGAAGCATTAGTTACAAGGAAGACTGTAACAGTGGGAGAAAAGCTCGTTTTACCGTACAAACTGGCAGAGGTATGGCTTTCTTTGAAATCAAAGTTCTGGACATTCTTAGAAGTTTGTATTTGAAGCTGGGTGTTTGCATTTGTCTGCCCAGGCAGCTTTGAACCATGATTGTCATTCTTAGTCTCTGAGCAACTAAGATTACAGGCGTAAGCAACTGTGCCTGGCTTTAAGAATTTTAATCTTGTCCTCATTCTGAAAATTTTATACTATTTTGTGTAGGTAGATGACAGGTAGAATTGACCTCTGTTGATTATTCCTTCTTGAGGTGGTTTCTTCAGTTACCTCTTACTCATTATACTTGGTTTACATTCTTTTTTGGCTACATCTTTGCCATTCTTTTTTCTTGCTTTTTCTTTCCTTCCTGACCTAAAAGGAAGGATATCCTAGGACACAGTCTTTTTCTTTTCTTTATTCTTTAGATTACCTAACCTGTATTCTCTGTATTCATCTGTATTCTCAATCTGCCAGGTGTATAGGTACCCTTACACTGTAAGGATAGGAAAACTACTGAAAAGTCACTACTCAACAGTGCAATATCATGAAAGTATTAAGAATCCAAATTATTCTGGGCACCAGTGGCTCATACCTATGATCCTAGCTACTCAGGAGACTATGATCTGAACATCATGGTTCAAAGCCAACCTGGGCAGGATAGTCAATGAAACTCTTACTTCTACTTAACCACAAGAAAACTGGAAGTGGCACTGTGGCTCAAATTGGTAGAGCACTATTCTTGAGTGAAAGAGCTCAAGGACACTGCCCAGACTCTGAGTTCAAGCCCCATTATTCCTCCCTGCCTACACACACAAAAGAAAAGAATCCAGGTTTGGACAATTATCAAAATAGAAACAAAAGAGGAGACTCAGGAGCGTGGAGATTGTTACTGAACTCTAGATTTTTGGGCTGGCATAGAGCTAGCTAAAACCCCTGTCTTGCTGACAAGGGTTTTCCTGTCTGCATCTCCATTCCCATATTCCTTCTTAAGTCACATTTTCTTCTCTCACACAAAGCATGCTATGCTTCATTAAGAGAAGAAGGTCTAATCTTTCTTTAAGAATGATGACTGATTAAGTCAGGCACACCTAGGATTTCTTCCTAGGTTACTGCTCTACTATTGAGCCACAGCTTCCATTTTTGGCTTTTTGGTGGTTAATTCCTGCCCAAGCTGGCTTTGAACTTCAATCTTCAGAATTCAGCCTCCTGAATAGCTAGGATTATAGATATTAGCTACTAGTGCCTGACTTGAAATACTTTTTAAGAGGTGAATTTTCTTTAATTACGAGACTTTGTTTTTTAGAGCAACTTTAAGACTTACTAAGAAATCTTAAAAGAAAAAACATTTTTAAATTTTTTAATGAAGGAATTGTCTTCTCCCTGGGGTGGAGTGTTTTGAACTGAATGTCCTACATTTTGTTTGTGTTATAGCAATTTTAGCATGTATTCTCTTAAAGTTGGACTCAAATGAGTGCATAGAGAACAATTCACTTGTAGAATATATATGAAGTATACATTGAGCCAAAATTAGTTTCTAATTCAGGATAGTGATTTTTTTTGAATTATAGTAAAGACATTTTATTGTTGTATCTTAGATTATTACTAATACTATTTTGTACTCATGAAATTCTTTTCTTCTTTTGTAGGCCATAACAGTGAGGAACTCCATGGCTAAGTCCCTGTATAGTGCTCTGTTTGACTGGATAGTATTTCGAATTAATCATGCACTTCTCAATAGTAAAGATTTGGAGCACAATACCAAGGTAAAGACATTTTAGGTTACAATATGTTTTTCCTTGAAAACTGACCAATAAGCTTAGTTACTATGTGAAATTTTCAAGCACAGGATTATATACAGTAGTACTACTCTTACCTTCATTGTATATTCCCCCGTGTAGATGAGCTGTTCTGTGTGTCACTGCAAACCTTTTTGTATGTATTTGCATGCCAAAGACATTAATATACAGAGTTGCCTTTGAAAGTATAAATGTCATTGCAATTGTTTTTATGTAAAATCTCTTGAGATCCTTTGTGTCATCATGAATCTGGACCTCATTTCCTTAAATAAATTTGTAATACACCGTATGATGTGTAGTATAAATTTCCTAATTAAAACACTTGTTTCATTATAACCATAACTGTAATATAAACACACGTGTGTGTGTGTGTGTGTGTGTGTGTGTGTGTGTATATATATATGTTTAATCTCATTTCACTTTTTGAGACAGGATCTCAGTGTGTAGTATATTCTGGTCTGGAACTTCAGAACCTCCTGCCTTACCCTCCTGAATGCCTAGGATTATAGGCATGTACTACCATGCCTAATTGCAGCTGTCCTTTTACTTTGTGCAGTTTCTCTAGGAGAAATTTCTCATTGCAAAATTGCTAGGTATAAGGCTATGTTTTAAATGTACCATAGTTAAAAAACTACACTGCTAACAGTGTAGTTGCTACATCCATATTGGGTAGTATCACTATTTATACTCCTGATAGGATAAAGATGTGTATACTAGGAGCATTTTGTGTGATGAAGTCTATTAAGTAAATCTATGTCCTTAAGAAGGAAATAAAAATAATACACTTGAAAAAAAAGTCAATTTGATAAGTTAAATTACAATTTAACTTTATAGGTAAGAACTTAAATGTAAAAAATATAAAAGTAATTTTACATTTTTAAGATTATAAGAGAGCTGACAGTTCCAAACAGTTCAAATAAGGGAGAGAGAGACTTTTTTCTTTCTTTTTGTTTTTTAATGTTACTAGGGTTTGCACTCAGGGCCTCATGTTTGGTAGGCATGTTGGAACCATAGCTTTATCCCTCTTAGTACAGACTTAAAATCTTTTATATTCATTATGGCAGTTGTCTCAGTACATCTCTTTGCACCAAAATAAAATCCTTTTTATTCAGTCAAAATTGTTATACCAACTGTATTTCAAGAAAGAGAAGGAGATGGGTGTGGCACTTGTCTGGATTACCTAATGAGTTAAAAGGACAAAAAGAACAAAAAAAGAATGCAGTGGAGTGGTGTTTGTATGCAAATAGTAGAGCAAAATCTATCTTTAAAAATTTTTTATTGTTACAAAGTTTATGTACTGAGTGGTTAAGTTAGATAAGTCAGGTAAAGAGTACATTTTTCAGATAATGTCACCCTTTTGCTTGCTGTCTCCTAAAGAATCTATGAAGAAGTTCCAAAGATAATTTCTAGGAGGAAACAATTATTGAGTTTTGATTTTTTGATTATTGATTTTTTACAATCCTTTGGAGCTACTCAGTACTTTAAACCTATTATTTTCTCTGCACGTGTATACGTGTGTGTGCAGGCACGCTCATGCACCATATGCATGCACTGGTTTTGGGACTTGAACTGAGGGCCTGAATGCTGTCCTTGAGCTTTTTTGTTCAAGGTTGTCACTTTACCACTTGAGCCACAGCTCTGCATCTGGCATTTTGGTGGTCAATTGGAGATGAGAGTCTCATGGACTTTCTTGTCTAGGTTGGCTTCTAACAACAATCTTCAGATCTCAGCCTCCTAAGTAGCTAGGATTATAGGTATGAGCCACCAGACTGGCCTTGGTTTTTGTTTTTGGTTTGGTCATGGGGCTTGCACTCTGGGCTTGGGTGCTGTCCCTGCTCTCTTCAGCTTAAGGCGAGTGCTCTACCACTTGAGCCACAGTGCCACTTTTGTTTTTTTAGTGGTTTATTGGAGAAAAGAGTCTTACAGACTTTCTTGCTGGGGCTGGCTTTGAACCATGATCCTCAGATCTCAGCCTCCTGAGTAGCTAGGATTACAGGTGTGAGCCACCTGTGCCTGGCTTGACCTTGTTTGTTTTTGAGACAGGGTCTTGCCTTGTGGTTGAGATTGGCCTTGATCTTACAGTGGAGCCCAAACCAGACTCCAGATCCTAAATTGGTTTTACTAAATAATCTGCTTTATTTCCTAAGTAGTTCATCGATATTAACATGTTTTAAAATGATTAAAATAAGTCACATTTAAATTTATAGATATTACTAATATTCTCAAAATAGTTTGCTAAGTAAAGAGAACTGAGACTCATCCTTAAACCAATTTTCTTTCTCTTTCTTTTTATTTTTTTACAGACTTTGTCCATTGGTGTTCTTGATATTTTTGGGTTCGAAGATTATGAAAACAATAGCTTTGAACAGTTGTGTATTAATTTTGCTAATGAACGTTTACAACACTACTTCAATCAGCATATCTTTAAGTTGGAGCAAGTGAGTACCTAAATATGTACATGCTTTTCCTCTCCTGGCCGCCTGTGAAAAAAGAAAAAAGAAAACCTGACATGGTATCAAGATTTGCACAGATGAAAATATCCTTCTGTTGTATGGATTGGTAATTAGCTACAATAGAAAGTTTAGAAAGCCAGGTACTGGTGGCTCACACCTGTAAACCTAGCTACTCAGGAAGCTGAGATCTGAGGATTACTGCTTGAAGCCAGCCCAGGCAGGAAAGCCTATAACACTCTTATCTCCAATAAACTACTCAACAAAAGTCAGAAATGGAGATGTGGTTCAAGTGGTAGAGTACTAGCATTGAGCAAAAAGCTCAGGGACAACATTGAGGCCTTATGTTCAAGCCCCAGGACCAACACACACATGTGCTCGTGCATGTGTGTGCATGCACACACACACACACACACACACACAAGCTTAGACAGTTCTTGTTAAAATCTTCTCAATACTTGTTATCATGACTCTTACATTCTGTAAGATGAATAAATTGTTATTTTGTTATTTGGTTTTCCCAGGAGGAATATAGAACTGAAGGTATTAGCTGGCACAACATAGATTATATTGATAATACTTGTTGCATAAATCTTATTAGCAAAAAGCCAACAGGACTGCTCCATCTTTTGGATGAAGAGAGCAAGTGAGTATCAATCTTTTTTACTTTGTTATTATCTAGTGGACTTCTTTTATCTTCGTAAGTTTAAATTCCTCATCATATTTTCAAATAAAGAGCTACAAGCTTCTTTTTTAAAGAGCTACACGTTTCGTTGTACGAATTTTTATTTTTTTATTTTTTTTTGGTCAGTCGTGGGGCTTGAACTCGGGGCCTGGGCACTGTCCCTGCACTCTTCAGCTCAAGGTGAGCACCCTATCACTTTGAGCCACAGCGCCACTTCCGGTTTTCTGGTGGTTTATTGGAGATAAAGAGTCTCCTGGACTTTCCTGCCTGGACTGGCTTTGAACCGCGATCCTCAGATCTCAGCCTCCTGAGTAGCTAGGCTTACAGATGTGAGCTACCAGCACCCAGCTATGAATTTCTTTAAAAAATGAATTTTTGTTTAATAGGCTGGACTTCATTATTGAGCTGATTTTTTTTCTGTATTTGCTGCTAAGTTTGTTCATTTATTTATATTTATATATGTACATTTTAGTTCACTCCTGGGATTGAGTTTTATGTAGTTTTCATGTTTAGTAGAACACAATATCATGGTAAATTAAATCTACCATGTCTGTGCAGGTGGTAAGTTTTGGCAACGTTTGCTATTACTTCTCACCATTGTTCAGTATACCAAACCATTAGGATTCATAGGGGAATAGAATATTAGGAGGTGGGACTTGGTAGGAGAAAGAAAGTCACCAAGAAAATACAAACATCCAGCATATAATGGTAGGCAGGCACAAAGCAAATATTGCCATTCAAAAGAGAAATGAAGCTGGGTGCCAGTGGCTCACATCTGTCATCTTAGCTACTCAAGAAGTTTAGATCTGGGGCTGGGAAGGTGGCTCAGTGGTAGAGCGCTTGCCTTGCATGCATGAGGCCCTGGGTTCGATTCCTCAGCACCACATAAGCAGGGGGAAAAAAAGGCGGAAGCGGCACTGTGGCTCAAGTGGTAGAGTGCTAGCCTTGAGCTGAAGATCTGAGGGACAGCACCCAGGCCCAGAGTTCAGGCCCCAAGACTGGACCCCCCCCCCAAAATAAAGAAGTTTAGATCTGAGGATTTCAGTGTGAAGCCAGCCCAAGGAGGAAAGTCCAATGAACCACCACAAAGCCAGAAGTGGAGCTGTGGCTTAAGTGGTAGAGCACAAACCTTGAACAAAAGCTCAGTGACAGTGCTTAGGCCCCGAGTTTAAGACCTAGGATGGATGGAAACACACACACCCCTCCAAAAAATGGAATGAGGTTCCAAAAAGGAATGAGAACAAAGCAAAACGGAAGCCCATCATGGCAGACATTAAATCATGTAATCCATGTCTGGCATCTGGGGCATATCAGCAGCTCCCTGTGTCAGGTATGGTCACATGGCCACTCTGGGCTAGCTGCCTGTGGCTTTCCTTGGTGGCCATTCCATATTTCTGGCATATTCTATTTCCTTGAGGTTTCTCTTGCAGCTTTGACTTTACTGTCCCAGGCTCACACATTGTACTGTCAGGAGGTAAGTATAGGGATTCCTTCCCTTCCACAGACAGACTTTGATATCTCTGGAAGCCTCCACAGTCCCATAGCTCTTGAATTCTGCATATCTGCAGAATTGACATCCTGTGGATAATGATGATGTCTGTTGCTGGAACAGACTACTGCTGTGGCTGCTCAGACCTTGGTAGTTGCCTCTTGAGTCTCTGGACAAATAGAGACATGGAGAAAAGAATCCTGGGAGACAACGATGCCCCAGGATCTCCTCAAATGACTGCCTTATACTTTCATACTCTCAAGCCTCCTGTGGTAGTATCTGGTTAGTCAGCACAGCTCTTCCTACTTTGCCTCTAACCATCTCTCATCTCTGAATTCTTCCCACAGACCACTTCCAAAGGCTTCTGAACCTACTTCTGGGTACCAGTTGTGTGTAAACTATCTTTTAGTCCGAATACCTGGGAAAACTAACCTAAGGAGCAAGGATTAGCCTTGGTGTGCAGCTTCCCCAGCCTTTAACATCTAGGTCACAGTGGCTTTCTGTGTCCTCTGTGAACCTTATTGTTCTCAACCAGTTTTTCCCTTAAATCACTGTAGTTATTATAAATCCACTTGGTGTTTTTTAAAAATAATAATAATGGATATAGACGTACATAGTTGTTGGTATAGATATAGAAAATTGTTATGTGTGAAGAAGAAAGCAAGCAAAAAATGACTTGCATTTTTAGGACCTGTTTAAAGAATAAGAGATGATTCCTTTTGGGGAATTTTTTGTCCCCAAAGAGCATATGACTTGGGTTTTGTTTTCCTCTGAGCTTTATAGTATTAAGAGTGTACCATAGCTGAAGCCAAATTCTTGATGACCTGAGTTGTCTTACTTCAGACCACTTCTTATTCCCACTGGGTGGGAGTGGGCAAATCTCATCTTCTGACCCCTCTTCTGTGTGCATTAGTCCTCATTATACTCAATGTTTAGCTAGGAGAATCTGATGATAGACTGCAGTGAAAACTTGGACACTACCAAGTGTGTTAGAAGACCATGAAATTGTAATGTACTTTTTACAATGCTGTGCTAATTATGGTATCTTTCTTGTGTTTTTTCCTTTTTCCTTTAAAAATTTTAGTTTTCCACAGGCTACAAATCAAACATTGCTAGACAAATTTAAGCATCAACATGAAGAGAATTCTTATATTGAATTTCCAGCTGTGATGGAACCTGCTTTCATAATAAAACATTATGCTGGAAAAGTAAAATACGGAGTAAAGGTCAGTGAATTTCTCATCAAATATGCTTTTAGGCAGAATGTGTCACTGTCCCTGATATGTTACCCTCTTGGTAGTTTTAGAGACATTTTATAAGGATACTAATAAAAATCAGACTGTACTTTTCAGTACATTACCATCTTAGGTAATGTTTCTCTCCGTTTCTTTCTGAAGATAGACCTATCATTCCATTCTTACAAACTTTTTCAGTCTGAAAGAATAGATAACATTTATTTTAAATCATTTCCTTAATTTTTTTTTCTTTCATTACTAGGGCTTGAACACAGGGCCTACATGCTCTCCCTGAGCTTCTTTTTCTCAAAGGCTAGTGTTTTACCACTTGAGCCACAGCTCTTCTTCCAGCTCTTTTGGTAATTTGTTGGAGATAAGTGTCTCATAGACTTTCTTGCCTGGACTGGCTTTGAATGATCCTCAGATTTCAAACTCCTAAGTAGCTAGGATTATAGATATGAGCCACTGGCATGTGGCTTTTCTCTGTACTTTTAAGGCCTGACTGAAAGGCTCATGCCTTCATGTTTTCCTATTGAACTAGATCTATACAAGTTTAGTTTTAATTAAAATTATTATGAGGAGCTGTGGAAAGTTTTTTGTTGTTGTTCTGGGCTTGAACTCTAGGTGTGGGGTGCTGTCTTTGAGCTTTTGTGCTGAAAGCTAGTGCTGTACCACTTGAGCCACATAGTTCCACTTCTGACGTTTTTGGTGGTTAATTGGAGATAAGAGTCTAATGGACTTTGCTGTGGGGGCTGGCTTTGAACTGCAATCCCTTCTGGTTTTAATCTCTTACCCATTTTCTATTTGTCTGTCCTGTTCATTTCTGGTTGGCTGCTCTCATTTCCTCTCCAATGGCTTTTTTAAATTTTTTTTTTTTTATCGTGAAGATACCCTACAAAGGGGTTACAATTACATGGGCAAGATAATGAGTACAATTCTTATCAAGCATTGTTGCCTCCTCTTCGTTTCCCCTTCCTATCCTTCCCATCTCCCCCCCCCTCCCCCCCAATAGCTTTCTTTTTTATTGCTGGTTCTAGGCTGAACTCTGGCCCTTTGTGCTATCCCTGAGATTCCCTTGCACAAAGCAAGTGCTCTACCACTTGGTCCACAGTGCCACTTCTGGCTTTTTTTGAGTAGTTTATTGGAGATAAGAGTCTCACAGTTTCCTGCCCAGACTGGTTTTGAACCTTGATCTTCAGATCTCAGCCTCCTGAGTAGCTAAGATTATAGGCATGAGCCACTGGTGCCCTGCTCTAGTGGCTTTGCTTTTACACTGAATAAAGGAAATTAAAATGTCTTGGCACAAGCTTATAGAGGCTAAGTATACTGTTTATTTGCTTTATTGTCTACTCCTCCTCCCTTCCACCCTTGTGCTCACTGTGTTCTGTTCACATGGCTTGCCTCACCTATCACCACATGGGTCAGGCAAGATGTTCCTTCCATTTGGGATGCTCTTCCTGGTCTGGTTCCTTTGGATTTCTGTCATTGCTATTCAATAACCCTATCTGAAGGGGTTTTACAGAAAATGTTCTTGGTCATTGTTCAACAAACTGTCATGAAATTGTACAATATTCACTCTTATTTTCATTTGTTTTGAATCCAGTAGATGGATTTAGTTGATTTAGTTTGGCTGGCCCTTTATAGAAGATACCTAGTCTAGGCACTACCCAATAAAGAAGTACTCCATTCATCTTGATTTATCCACTGTTCAAACATGTCACCATAACACTAGCACTGTTCTCACATAGGATTTCCGGGAAAAAAATACAGATCATATGCGCCCAGACATTGTAGCTCTTCTGAGAAGTAGCAAGAATGCATTTATCTCTGGGATGATTGGAATTGATCCTGTAGCTGTTTTCCGTTGGGCAGTTCTTCGAGCTTTCTTCAGAGCCGTGGTTGCTTTCAGAGAAGCTGGGAAAAGACACATTCAGAGAAAAACTGGTAAGCAGTAGTTGCTCATATTCTGTCATGCTTCATTATTTTTTTAACCTCTCAACCACCAGGAATGTCATCACAATTTTTTTTTTCTTAATTTGTACAAGAACAGGGGCTTGATCACAGGGCCTGGCTTTTCTTTGCTTTCCCACTTGAACCATACCTCCACTTGTGGCTTTTTGATAGTTCAATGGAGATGAGTCTTATGTACTTTCCTACCTGATTGGCTTCTAACCATGATCCTCAGATCTCAGCATCCTGAGTAGCTAGGATTACAGGTGTGAGCCACTAGTATCCAGCAATAATTTTTATTTTGTTCTATCTTCTTACCATTTTCTGACACTGGATCTCATGAGTTGAGTGTACTTCATATTATTAAAAATGTGTGTGGAGGCTGGGAAGGTGGTTCAGTGGCAGAGTGCTTGCCTTGCATGCATGGGACTCTGGGTTCGATTCCTCAGCACCACATAAACAAAAAGAAAAAAGCCGGAAGTGGTGCTGTGGCTCAAATGGTAGAGTACTAGCCTTGAGCTGAATTGCTGAGAGACAGCGCCCAGGCCCAGAGTTCAGGCCCCACGATCTACCAAAAAAAAAAAAAAGTGTATGTGTTTTATATGTGCAGGTATATGTTGGTATATTTTCATTATCAAATATTGATCAGACTAATGAGTGTAAAACACTTAAGCATAGGGTAGGATTACTGGTAATAATGCAAACTGAGTTTTGTTACTGAAGAGTGTTTTGATTCTGAAATAATGGCAAACTTGGTTAAATACATTGCTTTTTGAACTGTTGTACATTTGCAACTATTGGTTCTTACACTGGATACATGACATAGGGTTAACTTTTTAATGTCAGATAAAATATTTCCAATCCATTTTTTAAAAGCTGTTATTTCTATACATTTAGTATTATTTATTGGTTATAAGATTTCCTTTGCTAGATGGAGGAGCCTATTCTGTAGATTTAATTTATTACTTGAATTATAGAATTATAGAGAGATTAAAATATACCCTGTAAACCTCTTTGGTTTCACCTGTAAAGTGATTGTTTTGAGGACTATTTGTAGATTTTAACATTGAATCTCATTTCTAATTTTTTTTTTTTAGTAAAGTACACTAATGGCATTAGAGTTCTTCCTTTATGTTTTGCTTAATTTGTCCCTATTATTAAATTATGTGCCTTTTTTTTTTTTTGGTTGGTCGTGGGGTTTGAACTCTGGGCTTGGGCGCTATCCCTCAGCTCTTCAGCTCAAGGCGAGTGCTCTACCGCTTGAGCCACAGCGGCATTTCTGGTTTATTGAAGATAAGAGTCTTACAGAAAAAAAAAAAAAAGAGTCTTATAGACTTTCCTGCCCAGGCTGGCTTTGAACCATGATCCTCAGATCTTGGCCTTCTGAGTAGCTAGAGCTAGGTTTACAGGTGTGAGCCACCAGCGCCTGGCTGCTTTGTTTTTTTAAAGACAAAACTATTCTAATTTGAACACTACTTCCTAACTCTATATGTGATCTCTGAGCAAATAATACTCAAAAGAATCACTCCACCCAAGTCTGGAAACCCTATGTCTGTTTTGCTAAATGTATACAACATGAACCCTCTTCTTTCCCCTGTTGCTGAAGTGATTCTAATCTGGGGCTTTGGTCTACTTGAGTGTGCTCTCTTCCCTTTTCCACTGGTGGCTGATTTCTGTCTCATTTTCCTAAGAAGTGGTTTGAGGAGGAGAGGCTTCCATTATATTTTCAGATTTCTTTGGTTTCTTTGCTCTTTGGTGCTTTTCTTCACACTTTGATCAACACACTTTGTTGGAATTTCCTACAAGTGTGGTTAATTGCAGGTTTTGTGAAAGAGCTGTTAAAATTTTTGGTAAATTATTTTGGGTATATTTCTCTTCAGGGTTTCATCAATGTTGCCAACTATATGCTAACAAAATTTCAGACCCAGTACCAGTGACTCATTTTTTTATAAATAGCCAAATTATGCAAATTATTTTTCAAATGTCCCTAATGTTTTAATTTTAGAAGTTTTAAAGAATGACTTAACATTTTGGTAGTAATAAAGACATTGAATTATCTGAAAAAGACTTTTAATATCCTCAGGTTAATTGTATAAATCAATCACATTTAGTATCTATCCACTGAAACTTATTAATAAACTTTTAAGATAGTTGGCAGCATTGTGCTTATTCTTATTTTGGTTTGGGCTTACATAATGTCTTTTTCTTTTCTCCGTTTTCCCCCTTTTGCTTCCTAAGGACATGATGATACAGCGCCATGTGCAGTTTTGAAAAGTATGGATAGTTTTAGCTTCCTCCAACACCCAGTCCACCAGAGAAGCTTAGAGATTCTGCAGAGGTGCAAGGAAGAGAAGTACAGTAAGGCTACAAATTCTGATCACTCTGTGTTGTCGCATATCCATATGGAAATGGGAACCAAGGGCATTCTGTGGCTTGGTAGACTACATATGCAGCATGGCCTCCATGGTTCTTCAGACCATCTTAGATATTTCCCTTGAGATTTTTAGTGCTTTCTTTTGAGCTGCTGGTATGCCTGTTTGAGTTGGGTGGCTGTCCTGTTTGCCTGTGATAACTCAGTAGTTAATTGTACTTGTTTAAAATCATTTGGTGACTTTTAAGTATCTGAGTCATAGATAAAAATAATGATAATTTCCTGCTTTTTTAAAGAAGCCATTGTAATGTAATTGAAGTAAAATAAACTTAAGCAAAGAGCACAATTTGGTGAGTTTTAAAACATAGAGGCACTTAGGAAATGGTTGAATGATTATATGTAACACTTGTAAAGTTTTCTCTTATCCAGCTGGTTGCTGGGATTTTAACTTTGGAATGCTGATGGTGTCTTTCACTGGTAAATCCATTTACACCAATTGTAGTTCTCCAGTCTGCAGTGGAGCAAAGCAGTCACATCTATTTTTTGGCTTAAAGAAAAATAACAGAACCATGATGCACATTTTTTTGTTTACATTTCACAAAATTGGTGTAAAAGATGCATTTGGTTTCCATTCCATCCCTTACTCTTTAGATTAGATTCTTTCTGCATGAAAACTGGTTCTTTTGCGTGTTAAGAGATTACAATGATCAAACTACTTCTGTTGTGAGAAGAAATGAATCCTTCAGAGTACTCAGAGCCAAATTTAGTAATCTGGGTCTACAGACAGAGTTACACAGTCTGTTAAGAGCTTTTGCAAAACTGTCACAGATTTAGGTTACTAATTTCCCAGTTATCTGGTTGCATGAAATTTTAGTATCCAGTATCAGTGAAAGAAGAATATAGAAGTTGTAAAAGAAAATGTTGTAAGTTTTTAACATTTCCCTTACTTACTGGTCTTAATATTTAAAAAATGTGTAATCTATTTTAAGAAATGATATTTTAGAAAGAACTAAGGTAAGTATTTCAATGAAAAAAAAGACATCTTTGATGGCTCATAACTGTAATAAGGAGGCAAAGATCAGGAGAATTATAGATCAAGTACAGCCAAATAATGAAGTTAGTGAGACCCTGTGTCAAGTCAACAAGCTGTATATAGTAGTGTGGTCTCTACTATTCAGGAGACTATATGGAGGATTGTGGTCTAGATGCTGGGCCAGGGCAGAAATGCTAGACCCATCTTGATAAGTGACTAAAAGCCAAAAAAAGGATTGATAACAAAACTCAAATAGTAGAGCTTTTGTCTTGGAAGCCTGAAGGTCTCAGTTCAAACCTTACTACCACCAAGAAAAAAAGAGAGAGATTTTGATGTTATTTTTGGTTGTTGCTATTGTTTCTTCATTCTGATTGTCCATAGTTTTTTATGTTTTTTAGTTTTTGGTGTCAAGCCTGGGGCTTGAATTCAGTGCCTAGACACTCTCCCTGAGTTTTTCTGCTTAAAGCTTAGCACTCTACTGCTTAAGTCACAGCTCCACTTCTGGCCTTTTTGCTAGTTAATTGGAGATAAGAGTCATGGACTTTCCTGCCTGAGGCTGGCTTTGAACTTCGATCCTCAGATTTCAGCCTCCTGAGTAGGTATAATTACAGGTGTGAGCCATTAGTCCCCTGCTTTAGCCATCATTTTAAATACAGGAGATAGTATTGAAAAAGTCTGTAAGTCATTTAGGGGGAGCTCAAGTTGTTCATTTGCCTTGTCTTCCATGACTCAGCCTGACAATCCTAGACCCAGCAGTATTCTAGGTTACTATGGATAACTCAAAGACAGGAAAGCACCAGTTGGCATAGAGTGCATCACAAGGTTGTACATTTAGGTATTCATTCGCAAATTCCTACATTTTTGGACATTGGAGCATTCTATTAGCTTTTGTACTTCTTCTGTTTACCAACAGTTAAAATTTTATAATATATGGAAGAAAGCGAAGGAAGGGGTGATACTGTCCAAAAAAGAAATGTACTAGTTATATAACTTATAAAATGTTAACCCCCTCTGTGCAACACCTTAATAATGGCAGTAAAAGTATATTAAAAAGTCAGGTGCTGGTGGCTCATGCCTGTAGTTTTAGCTGTCCAAGAGTCTGAGAGGATTGCAGTTCAGTGCCAGCCTGGGCAGGAAAGTCCATGAGACTCTTATTTTCAATTAACCACCAGAAAACCAGCAGTGGCATTATGGCTCAAAGTGGTAGAGTGCTATCCTTGAGTGAAAAAGCTCAGGGACAGCGCCCAGGTCCTGAGTTTAAGCCCCACAACTGACACACAGAAGTAATAATAAAATCATATTTGAAAACTTCAGAGGTTGGAGGCATAACTTAATTGGTAGACTGCTAATCAGTGAGCAAACGTGGTGAGTACTGAGTTCAAGTCCTGGTCTCAGACTTAAAAAAATAGAAGAAAATTTAGTAATATATAATATTATAAAATCAAACTTAGAAGTTTTTTTTCCATAAAGTCATTGAATGGACCTAATTTGATTCATGGTTAACCCAATCACGTTTCTAAGTGATAGATTATGGGATTTTGTTCATGTTATTATCTTTATGTTTTTGACATTGCATTGATTTTGGGGGCTGGAAATGTGGCTCAGTGGTAGAGTGCTTGCCTAGCATGCATGAAGCCCTGGGTTCGATTCCTCAGAACCACATAAACAGAAAAGGCCAAAAGTGGCGCTGTGGCTCAAGTGGTAGAGTGTTAGCCTTGAGCACAGAGAGGCTCAGGACAGTGCCCAGGCCATGAGTTTAAGGTCCAGGATGAGCAAAAACAAAAAAAACCTAAACCACTGATTTTTAAAAAAAATTGTCTTTAGAAAAACTGTTTGATGATTAGTGTTTCTTGGCATTGATTTGGAAATTTCTGCCTTCCCTCTCCCTTTTCTCTAGGTATAACTCGGAAAAGTCCTAGAACACCTCTTTCTGATCTCCAGGGCATGAACACTCTAAATGAAAAAAACCAGCAGTAAGTTTGGTTTATGCTTTCAAGGAACTGTAGAAGAAGTCCATATTGTTCATGTAACTTTAAAAATGTCAAGCCATAAGTAATTTTCTTGTGAGTTATGTAATAACAAGTTAATAGAATAGGTTAATAGGTCAAGTCTAGTTAAGAAAACTTGTATGGTAAAATGGCTCTACAGTTAAAAAACAAAAAAACAAACACATTTCCCCAGAATAACTTAAAATAAGATGATAAATTTTGACTTCTGAGATCCCTCTTACATTTTTGAAACATTTAAGGGTTATTCTGTTTTTTGTAGATAAATCTTACTGGTTAGCAATTGAGTTTTCCTTGCTCATTTTTAGTCTAGCCTGGTAGACTTAGTTAATATTTCTCAAACTCATCAACAATGTTTCCATCTCCAAGACTTTGTACTTGCAGTTCCACATAACTGCTTCATATCTTGATTTCCTTTTTCTTCTTTTCAGTTTATTTTATTTTTTGGTTTTTGAGACAAGGTCTTGTTTAGAATCTTGAACTTCCTGTATCCCACCCTGACCTTGAACTCATGATCTTCTGTGTCATCTTCCTGAGTTCTGAGTTTACAAGCATGCACTGCCATGTCCACATCATTTCTGTTTAAATGGAACTATATCAATGAGGCCTTCCCTGACTGCCCTATTAGCCTATCATATTTTATCCTGTTGTTCTAAATTTTTGTCTTTGCATCTGTTATTTGACATATGCTTATTATTGTCTCTTCCTTCCTGAGTATAATCCACCTAATGGTGAGGATTTTAGTGTAGTTTTGTTCTTTCCTATGCACAAAGATGGGAAAATAACTGACCATGTTGTTGGTGCTAAATTATTTTTTTTATTTATTTTTTATTGGTCGTGGGGCTTGAACTCTGGGCCTGAGTGCTGTCCCTGAGCTCTTTAGCTCGGGTGGGTACTCTACCACTTGAGCCATAGCATCACTACCGGTGATAAATTATTGTTTAAAAATTTTTAATTGTTTTTATAAAGGTAATGTACCGAGGGATTACAGTTATGTAAGTCAATAAAGAGGTCATTTCTTTTTTTAACAATGTCACCATTTCCCTCGTTCTCTCCCAGTTTTTCTCCCACCCCCACCCACATAGTTCATTTCAGGGCAGTGTACAGTGCCTACCATTGCTGCATTTGGTCACCCTAAATCATTCTTTTAGAGCCAAGAATGAATGTGTCAGATTTTCCACAAAAATTTGTTCTACCTTTTTGTGAAGCATATAATCCAGCTTGTTAGCACCCTAAGAGGTAGTTGCGTGAGGACTGAATCCTGCTGTTTTCAGTGTCCTTCTGACCTGTGTGTGGTATTACTGCCTTCATTGGTGCCGGGGGGGTGGGAGGAGAGAAGGAGGTAGGTTGTTGAGCTCAGAGACTCTCTATTCATCCAGCTCCTAAGAAGCAGTGTGCTTTCTATAACTTTTTTTTTTTTTGTTGGTCGTGGGGCCTGAACTCTGGGCCTGGGCGCTGTCCCTCAGCTCTTCAGCTCAAGGCGAGCGCTCTACTACTTGAGCCACAGCGCCACTTCTAGCTTTTTTTTCCTGCTTATGTGGTGCTGAGGAATTGAACCCAGGGCCTCTTGCATGCAAGGCAAGTGCTCTACCACTGAGCCACCTTTCCAGCCCCTGCAGTGTGCTTTCTGTAGTAATTATGCTACTGTGTTCTCACTGGCTTTTGTAAAGATAAAAAAGTATTTGATATCTATTATCTTTTTTTTTTTTTTGGTCAGTCATGGGGCTTGACTCTTGGCCTGGGTGCTGTCCCTGAGCTCTTCAGTTCAAGGCCAGTGCTCTACCACTTGAGCCACATGCCATTTCTGTTGGTTAATTAGAGATAAGAGTCTCATGAATTTTCCTGTCCGGTCTGGCTTTGAACCATGATCCTCAGATCTCAGCCTTCTGAGTAGCTAGGATTACAGGCGTGAGTCACTGGAGTCACTGGTGCGGCCTGGCTTGATATCTACTATCTCTACTTGGAATGACCTCATTAACTCTTTACTCACTGATAATTTGATGTGTTTTGTTATTTCTTAGGCTTTATTGCCTAAAACAGTACTCAACTAATAATTCCATCCTAGTAATTTGGTGGGGGTGTCTTTAGTGAGTGTAATGTAAATCAGAGGTTTCAGGAGGAAATTAGATATCCTATGGATTGGTAGAACCTTAAAATTGTAAAGTGTTGTATAGAAGCATTTGGAAATAATAACAGCCATTGCATTATAGTACTTTCTGTTATGTATTGATTAACAAATGATAATAGTATATTAATAATGTCACCTATATGATGTATTTATTTCATGCATATTTGTGTAGGAATGTGTACCCATGCACAGAAATGTTTTGTTCTGAATGAGAAGACAAGATCATTTTGTGCTGCCCAGCATTTTTCCTGTGTCTATTACTTAATGTTTTATTTTTAATTATTTAAACAACATTTTTCTTTTTTTGTACCAGTCCTGCAGTTTGAACTAAGGGCCTGGGTTTCTGAGCCTTTTCACTGAAGGCTGGCACTCTACCATTCGAATCATACCTTTACTTTTGTTTTTTTGGTGGTTAATTGGAGATAAAAATTTCATGGATTTTCTTGCGAGGCTGGCTTCAATCTGTGATCCTCAGATCTCAGCCTCATGAGTAGTTAGGATACAGGCTTGAGCTACCCTGAACACAGCTGCTAGGGATATCTTTTAACTAAAACATGTTGTTATTTTTATAGTGACACATTTGATATTGCCTGGAATGTCAGAACGGGGATTCGCCAGAGCAGGCTACCAAGTAGTACCTCCTTGCTTGATAAAGATGGAATATTTGCAAATTCGTCAAGCAGCAAACTTCTGGAAAGAGCCCATGGAATTCTCACGTCAGTACTAATCAGTAATGTGGATTTCTTTTTTATGAATACTTTAAAGTTTCTGGCTGAAAAAAAATGAAGAGATTATCTTATTTTTATGGATATAATTTTGATTGAAGCAAGAATAAAAAACATTTAGTCAGTATTTAGAATTGTGAATCTAATATAATATTTTGTTTTTGTTTTTTGTATCATGTGGGTTTGAACTTGGTGCTTTATACTTGCTCAGCTGGTTGCTTTGCACTTATAACTACCACTCCAGCCCTGGAGATGAAATCTAGCAAACTTTTCTACCCAGGCTGGCTTGAACTGTGATCATCTAGATCTCAGTTCCCATGACTGAGTTGGACCATAGTACTTTCCCTGGTGGTAATTACAGCTGCTGCTCAGGTGTCTTTCCTTTTCGGCTTGCAAGGTCTTTCCAACTCTAGCAGCCTGCCGGGCTCCTGTATCCTCTGGCTTCCGAGTCATAGCCTAGCTTCCCACAGTTTAAACTTTTGTTGTTCCCTGCTGGCTTGTCTGCCCTCCCTTTCCATTACTGATCTTATGTATACACAAGTTCTGTAGTCCAGTATACTGTAGGCTATGAGGCTATGTGACCTCTTGTCCCTGTGTTCTCAGAGGAACTCTCTGAAGGTGTCAACCCTTGCTCCTGGACCAGAGGACCCAAAGTATACTAGTTCTTGTAGTCTAGCCTTTTACAGCAGACCAGTCTTGGCCTCCCAAGTTCTTGGGCTGGGAAGCAAGGTTCAAAGGTTGTCTGTTTTTCCTCCCAAAGCCGATTTAGCAGTTCCTTGGCTAGACATCTTTATTTTACCTGGTGATTTTTGTTTGTTTGTTTGTTTTGATTTTGGTTGGTAGTGGGGCCTGAACTCTGGGCCTGGGGGCTGTTCCTCAGCTCTTCAGCTCAAGGCTAGTGCTCTACTTCTTTTTTTTTTTTTTTTGGTGGGTCATGGGGCTTGAACTCTGGGCCTGAACGTTGTCCCTCAGCTCTACAGCTCAAGGCTAGTGTTCTACCACTGGAGCTACAGTGCCACTCCCAGTTTTCTGGTGGTTTATTTGAGATAAGAGTTTCACAGACTTTCCTGCCTGGCTGGCTTTGAACAGTGATCCTCAGATCTCAGCTCCTGAGTAGCTAGGATTACAGGCATGAACCACCAGCGCCCGGCTAGTGCTCTACTTCTTGAGCCGCAGCACCATTTCTGGTTTTCTGATGGTTTATTGGAGATTAGAGTCTCATGGACTTTTCTGCCCGGGCTGGCTTTGAACCTTAATCCTCAGATCTCAGCCTCCTTAGTAGCTAGCATTACAGGCATGAGCCACCCTTGCCCGGCCTACCTGGTGTTTCTGTTGTCCTGATTCCCTATCCCCAGCTTGGGGAGCCAGACACCAGTTTCAAACTCATTGTTGCTATTTCTTCCTCCCTAATTGTTTCTTTGTGATTTTCTGGGTTTACTCCTTTGGTTTCTCTTTGCCTTTCTTTTTTCCTTACTTCAAATCTGCTTGTTGCTTTTGTCACTGGATCCCTTTCCCGCAGAGTGAAAATGGTAACTGCTTTCAGAACACTTTCAAAGATTTACTTTGAGGCATTCCATTTGAAAATTCTCAAAATAGCAGAAATAATTATCTTTTATTAGAGTAGGAATGAAGAGAGCCCTACATACAACCAGGAAAATGAAACTAGCTTGGAATGTAAATATTATATGACTTATTACAGGTATCTTTTTCTTCCTTTTCTGTGCTTACCTTTTCTTCCCAAAGTTACCTGCTTGATTGAATTACATAATACTATCTTACAGGAAATCTATGATTCTATAAATTAGTATTGAATCTGATTGAGTAGAGACCTTGAAATTTTTATAGTTTGCTTGTTTTTTTTCGTGGAACTGCATGCTGTGGTGGTACGCTGTTACTTAACCATGTCCCAAGTCCTGCTTTTTGCTAGTTATATTGGAGATTTAGTCTAGCAAATTTTTCTGCCCCTGCTACCCTTGAACAGAGATCCTCTAGAATTTAGTCTCTTGAATAGCTTGGTACTGGTACTTAGCTAATATAATTTTTTTCTGATGAAAAATTTTTCTTTATAGGAGAAACAAAAACTTCAAATCCAAGCCTGCTCTTCCAAAAGTGAGTATTATGGTAAAACTTTCTCTTTTAATGCCTTGATACATAATTATTTTATAATTCACAAACAAGAAATGCCCTATTTCTGGGGCTGGGAAGGTGGCTCAGTGGTAGAGAGCTTACCTTGCATGCATGAGGCCCTGGGTTCAATTCCTCAGCACCACATAAGCAGAAAGAAAAAGCCGGAAGTTTTGGCTCTGTGGTTCAAGTGGAAGTAGAGTGCTAGCCTTGAGCTGAAGAGCTGAGGGACAGCACCCAGGCTCAGAGTTCAGGCACACGACCGGACCTAAAAAATAAAAAAAAAAGAAGATGTTGTTTGTAACTCTCTTAATAATAAATGCGTAGAAGTGAACTTTCCTAGCAGGAGGATAATAATCCCAAGAGCTGCACAAGTCCAACTACCACCTTTACTGTGTTGTGTCAGTGTACTGGCTGGCAGTCTGATGTGCTTAAAATCACTTGAGATCCTCCTGTCTCCACCTCTTGCTTGCTAGGATTATAGATGTGAGCCCCATGCCCAGTTTGCTATATTTCTTTGAATGCAGATGCAATTTAACTATTGTCATTATGTCTTCACTATTTTTACTTCATTTGAAAATTGCCTATTCAGATTTTCTGTTTGTCACTGTATTAGGTGTCTTTTAGAGAATTTAAAAAATCTTCGTATATAAAGATGAGGCTTTGTTATTTATGGGAAATGTTTTCTTAATTTCAGTTTTTGAAATGTTTTTTTAAATTTTGCTACTTGAACATTTTTTGTGTTTTGATGTTTACTTTGTAAATTACTATTTTTAGACTATAAGTTGTCATGTTCTTAATGTAGTGTAGTGTTTCACATAAAGGCCTTTACTGCTTTTTAAATGGTATTAAGTTATTTTACATCTGTGTAGATATAGTCTATTTCTGAATTCACTGCTCTAAAATATAGTACTGTTTAAAAATATAATTTGTGCCGGATGTTGTGACTTATGCCTGTAATCATAGTTACTCAGAAGGCTGAGATCTGAGTATTGCAGTTCAAAGCCATCCCAGGCAGGAAAATCTGTGAGACCAAAAAACTGGAAGTAGAGCTTTGAGCAAAAAAACAAAGACAGTGCCCAGTACCTGAGTTCAAGTCCTAGCACTGGCACACACATGCGTGTAGACACACACACACACACACAATTACACTCGGATGCTTGTCTTCCTAGTTAAAGGATTAGACAAAGGACTTTGCTTTTTTCCTATGTGTTTCTGGAATACCTTATGTAGCCCTGGGATTTTGTTTGATTTGTGTCACTGAGTCAGCTTTCAGTTGGAGATAATAGTTATCAATGAAGATACATTTAAGTAGGAAAAGGATTATATTCAAATAATTAGTCACTTAAAAATCATTAGAAGCCCTGAAGCTTCAGAGTAGTAAGATAGCATTGCCCCAGATGCAATCAGAGAAGGCTTGGAAATGAGAACCTTCTGCTTCCAGGCACATGCCACGTGTGCTGTAAGCCAGGGATATCCAGGGCTAAACTGCATTTATCTAGCAGTTGTGACAACACAGTGTCTAGTTCTCTGCCTCTGAACTCACACAAGACTAGGGCCTGAAGGCTGGGACTACAGATGCTAATGTAGCTACTAGACATGTGTATTTGTCAGAAGAAATAGAAATGGTAGCCAAGGCCTCTGCCTCAATTGTACTTTCTCATTTCTATAAGAGTGTATCTTATATATAGGCAGAGATCATACCCAGCTTTGTACATACAGGAGAGGGTGGGGACTCTTAACTTACAATTTATTTTTCTAGCATCTAGAAGGAAATGGATGGTAGAAGAACATTAGTGACCTTTATATTTTCACCACTTTCATAGAATAAACATATAGATTAGACATTATGACAAGCCCAGAGTTCAAGCCCCACAACAACAACAACAACAAAAAATTATGAAGCTGGCTGAGGATTTTTTTTTTCTTTTTTGCCTGTCATGGGGCTTGAACTCAGGGCATGGGCACTGTCTCTGAACTTCTTTGGCTCAAGGCTAGTGCTCTACCTCTTGAGCCACAGCGCCACCTCTATGTTGTGCTGAGGAATCGAACCTGGGGCTTCATGAATGCTAGGCAAGCACTCTACCACCGAGCCACATTCCCAGCCCAGGATTTTGCTTTTCTTTCTCTTTCTCTCCTTCCTTCCTTCCTTCCTTCCTTCCTTCCTTCCCTCCTTCCTTCCTTCCTTCCTTCCTTCCTTCCTTCCTCTCTCCCTCCCTCCCTCCCTTCCTTCCTTCCTTCTTTCCTTCCTTTCCCCCTCTTTCTTTCTCTCTCTCTTTCCTTTCTTTCTTTCGTCTGTCGGTCGTGGGGCTTGAACTCTGGGTTTGGGTGCTGTTGCTGCACTCTTCAGCTCAAGGTGAGCACTCTACCACTTAAGCCACAGTGCCATTTCCAGTTTTCTAGTGGATTATTGGAGATACGAGTCTCATGGACTTTCCTGCCCCAGCTGGCTTTGAACCTTAATCCTCAGATCTCAGCCTCCTGAGTAGCTAGCATTACGGGTGTGAGCCACTGGCGCCCAGCTAGGATTTTACTTTTCTTAGACTAATTTATATGTGAGATTGTTTTTCCCTTCTTTCAGCATTTGCTGGAGGTGAATTCTTTGAAGCATCTGACAAGACTGACACTACAGGATCGCATAACCAAGTCTCTTCTTCATTTTCATAAGAAGAAGAAACCGCCCAGTATCAGTGCCCAGTTTCAGGTCATTATCCTTTTTTACTTACATACCAAATAAGAATCTGTTCCTTGTAGATTTTCATTGAAAGATTAATGTGATTGATGAGACAGTTGAATTGATACAGTATTTTAATGGTTATTTTGGAAAGAAGTACCAGAGATGGGAAAAATGTCATTTGCTTCTTTGTCATTCACGTGTCCCTGCATAGTTGATTTCCCTATGAGTAATTCATTCGGTTTTTGGTGAGAGGATAAAAAGAGTAGAATGTTGATAATAAAACCAAAATTGAACATGCATCGATGACTCACATCTACCTTTGCTGCTCCAGAGGCTGAGATCTGGGAATTGAATATCCCATTATACAGGTAATGAGGTTTTGACTTTGTTTTGTTTTATTTTTGGTGGGTTGTGGAGCTTGAACTCTGGGCCTGGGCACTGTCCCTGAGCTCTTCAGCTCAAGGCTAGTTCTCTACCATTTGAGCCACAGCAACACTTCCCCATTTCCAGTTGTCTGGTGGTTAATTGGAGATAAAAGTCTCAGGACTTTCCTGCCCTAGCTGGCTTTGAATGGTGATCCTCAGATCTCAGCCTTCTGAGTAGCTAGGATTACAGGCATGAGCCACTGGCATCCAGCTTATATTTTTATTAATTAATTAAATTTTTTTTTTAGTTCATCCTGAGTCTGGAACTCAGACCTAGGGCATTGGCCCTGAGCTTTTTTGCTGGCTTTGAACCTGCATCTTCACATATCATTTTCCTGAGTAGGTAGTGTTACAGGTGTGAGCCATCGGCACTCCGCTCATTAGATCTTCTATTGGTGCTTCGCATCCAAATGTTATGTTTAAACTGAAGAGTACTATATACTTACCAGAATAAAAAAATATATGTAATAAAATTATATATATAAAATGAAGTTACATATATGTAAACATGTATGTCTCTTAAAATCCAACTTTATGAATTCTAGATCGTCTCAACTTATATTCACTTAAAATCTAATTTTTACCAATGAGTCATCTTTAATGTTTTTGATGCATTGTCAAGTTATAGGACAAATGAGTTTTGATTATTTAGAAAATGAGGAAGATCAAAAACACATGCAAGTCCTATACCTTCCAAGATAACGGCTAATCTCCTATATTTCCCTGGCCAGTTACTAAATATTTACACATATGCATTATCTAAGTTTTCATCCAAGAATTCTAGGAGATAGATGTTATTTTTGTTATCATAGAGGTGAGGAAACTCCAAGGCTTGGATGGGTTATGTTCTGCTGTTATTCCACATGGCTGGGAAAGGCCTGGGAAAGACCTGAGAAAGAGAGAGAGCTGGGAAAAGAGGTGGGAGAGAGAGCTGGGAAAAAGAGCTAAAATAGCTGGGAAAGAGCTGAGAAGGCTGTTCTGCTGTTATTGACTGCACACTCATTCCGTGCATGCTACTCTCATCAAAATGAAATCAAAGAACCCATGAAAGCTTAACTGATACAAGAGTGCTCTTCTGCTCTAAGAACAAAAACTAGACAGTTATTAATAAGCACTATATGAGTATGACTGCTTCAAAAAGGGAAAGAAATGGACAGAGTCTCATATTAATGCCTAGTAGTTTGATAAAGTTCCGAAGCAGGGAAGCCAAACAGATGTCAGTGGTCTTTCCAGTTGGAGACAGAAAGACAGAAACAGTATGAATTTGGGGACACAATAGTATAAAACAGAACAGTAGCCACTTAGTGGTCTCCTTTAGTATATGATATGATCTGTACATATATGAGTTAAAACTCCATGAATCTGATTAAAGAACCTTTAGAATTATGTAGGTCTAAATATTTCCTGGTATTTACATAGGACCGGAGGAATAGTTCTGTTCCCGCAAGTGTGAGTGAAGTGACTTATTGGTACATAGGTCAGAAGACTACGCCTTAGTAATGGCACTGAAATAGAGGGCTACTCTGCCCTGGTCCTTGCAAAGCTTAAAGTCTATGGTCTTCAAAGAGACAAGTTGATACTAAGAAATTTAACTGAATACCAGGAGAAAAAAAACACTTAACACTTGAAAACCAAAGGAAAAAAAATCACTCGAAAACCAAAAAAATGAAGAGGAAGAAGAGAATAAGGGAAGGTAATTAGGGAATATGATCAGAGTATGTTAGACATGATGTATGTATGTAAATGTGACAATGAAATCCATTCTAATATTTGTAAAAGGAATTACCTAAATCATAACAGGAGGGGGTTGTTAGGAGCAGACCTAAAAATTGCAGACATGGTTTAAATAAATAATAGATGCTAATTTTAAAATGGATATTATAAATCTTTTAAATATGTCATGGATATCACAAGAAGTATGAATGTAATGAGAAAAAAAATAGAACATAGCCTTTTGGAAGATGATGACAGTCTGGACACTGCTCCAGGAGTTGGGCCTCTCGTTATTCCCTCTGCCTTTCTACTTCCCATTGCAGCCAGCAAAGGCCATTTGTACTGTTGAAGTAGAAAGAAAGGAGTGAAAAGATTAAAATGAAACTTAAACATTAGAAATGTAAGTGCCTGCCAGGCATGGATCACACCTGTAATCCTAGCTACTCAGGGCAACTGAGATCTGAGGATCATGGTTCAAATCCAGCCCTGGCAGGAAACTTGGTGAGACTCTTATCTCCAATTAAACACTAGCTGGGCATCCGTGGCTCAAGCCTGTAATCCTAGCTACTCAGGAGGGTGAGATGTGAGAATAACGGTTCAAAGCCAGCCTGGACGGGAAAGTCTATGAGGACTCTTATCTCCAGTATACCACCAGAAGACTGGAAGTGGCACTATGGCCCAAGTGGTAGAGTGCTAGCCTTGAGCTGAAGAGCTGAGGGACAGCGCCCAGGCCCAGAGTTCAAGCCCCATGACCAAACAAACAAAAGAAAGAAAGAAAGAAAATGGGAGTGGTGAAAATGTAAGGGCCAGATTTCAAGCCCCAGTACTGCCACAATTATCATCTGTTAGAAATCCAAAAGTAAGGAATTTGAAGTCTTTTTTTTTTTGTTGTTGGTCATGGGGCTTGAATTCTGGACCTGGGTGCTGTCCCTGAGCTCTTCAGCTTAAGACTAGCAGCACTCTACCATTTGAGCTACAGAACCACTTCGGTCTTCTGGTAGTTAATTGTAGATGACTCTCACAGACTTTCCTGCCCAGGCTGGCTTTGAAAAATGATCATCGGATATCTGCCTCCTTAGTAGCTAAGATTATAGGCATGAGCCACTGGTGTCCAGCTGAAGTTATTTTCTTTCTTTTTTTTTGGGGGGGGGGTCCAGTCATGGGGCCTGAACTCTGGGCCTGGGCGCTGTCCCTCAGCTCTTCAGCTCAAGGCTAGCACTCTACCACTTGAGCCACAGTACCACTTCCGGCTTTTTTCTTTTTGCTTACGTGGTGCTGAGGAATCGAACCCAGGGCCTCATGCATGCAAGGCAAGTGCTTTACCACTGAGCCACCTTCCCAGCCCCTGAAGTCATTTTCTTAAAAAAATAACCATACAAAGAAATGTTTTTTTGTGGGAAGTAGCACAAAATATTGAGTTAGGAGAAGAAGAGCTATGTTTTTATTTGAACATAATGGAATCAAATTTAAAAAGAAAGATAATATTTTGTTTTGGAAATACAATCCAGACTTCTAAATGATACATGAATTAAAGAGGAAAGATGGTTTTAAAATATTTTAAACGGGAGTGGGGCTGGAAAGGTGGCTCAGTGGTAGAGTGCTTGCCTTGCATGCATGAGGCCCTGGGTTCAATTCCTTAGCACCACATAAGCAAAAAGAAAAAAGCCAGAAGTGACGCTGTGGCTCAAGGGGTAGAGTGCTAGCCTTGAGCTGAAGAGCTGAAGGACAGCACCCAGGCCCAGAGTTCAGGCCCCACGACTGGACCACTCCCCCCCAAAAAAATATTTTAAATGGGATCATGTATACATTGCAGCCAAAGCAGCACTAATTTGTAGCTTTGAATGCGTTTATTAGAAATGAAGCAAGGTCTTAAGAGTGATCTAAATTCCTACCTTAATAAACTAGAAATGAAGGGCATATTAAATCCAAAGTAGCAGAAAGATGGAAACATTATATCAGAATTAGGTCAAATTGGGAAAAAAAAGTTTCCTTTATTCTTTAATGGAAAAAAAAATAAAACAAAAAGCAAGTTCTTTGAAAGATTAAGAAATTTGTAAACCTTCAGTTAGATTCATCAGGGGAAAAGAGAAAAAGAGAAAAAGATACAAATTACTATTATCAGGAAAGAAAAGAGGTGACATCATTGAATGTTCTATAGGCACTAAAATTAAGGGTGTACTCCTTTACACTGATTATGTTGCTGGATGTTTTTGGCTTAAGAATGCTTGACTAGCCAGACATGGTGGTGCATACCTCTTAATACCTACGCTTAGGAAGCTTAAAATTGTCAGTTGAAGGCCTGTCTGAGCTGTGTAGCAGACTTTTAGACTAGCCTCAGCAATATAGCAAGAGTCTTTATTTTTATTTATTTTTTGTCTGTTGTGGGGGTCTGAACTCTGGGCCTGGGCGCTGTCCCTCAACTCTTCAGCTCAAGGCTAGCACTCTACCACTTGAGCCATAGCGCCACTTCTGGCCTTTTCTTATGTGGTGCTGAGGAATCAAACCCAGGGCCTCATGGCATGCAAGACAAGCACTCTACCACTGAGCTACCTTCCCAGCCCCAGTAAAAGTCTTTTTCAAAAAACAACAACAGTAAAAAGTGAATTTGAATAAGATGGTTTAATGGAATTAAAAAAAAATTACTCTATAAATAAATTACTCTGAAATATATCTCTTCTCAGGCTGTCAGCTTTAAGATTGAACTGTTATTCTTACCTTTATCTAAATTAATCAGAATGGAAATACATACAATTTGCTTTCCAGAAGAAATCCCCTTCTATCTGTGTATAGAAAGGTTTTGTATACCCTACCAACATTATTGTTTATATTTCTGAAGGTTTGTTGCTATCCTGGAATGCTAATTATTTTGTTTTGTATTACAGGCTTCATTAAGCAAGCTGATGGAGACACTTGGTCAAGCAGAGCCGTATTTTGTAAAATGCATTCGCTCTAATGCTGAAAAGGTAAAAAATGACAGCATGTATAAGGAAAATCCTGAAAATGAACATTATCTCCTGACTATTTTTCTAATGTCCATATTTAACCTATCTATAAAGTTTGTATGGGTTAGATTTAGCATCTCTTGGAATTTAAGGAGCAAATACCTTTTTGAAATTCCATCAGAAAAAAACTTGTTTTTTTTTTTAAATGAAACTTTTGTTAATTTGTAGTTTATTCTTTTGTTTGGATGCATGCCATACCTCTTAAAAGTGATTTCTTTGTGTGTGTGTGTGTCTGTGCATATATATTTGTGTTGGGAGCAGATTGCAAGACCTTTTTTTTCCCTTCTTTTCTAAAAAATTAGCTTACATTACTTACACAGAGAGGGATTTCATTGGTATCTTCCACAAGTTTACAATGTATTCAAATCAGTCTCCCCCACTCTTATCACTTGGCTGGGCATTTGTAATTTTTTTTTTTGGTTGGTCATGGGGCTTGAACTCTGGGCTTGGGCATTGTCCCTGCGCTCTTCAGCTTAAGGTGAGCGCTCTACCACTTGAGCCACACTGCCACTTCCAGTTTTCTGGTGGTTTATTTGTGATAAGAGTCCCATGGATTACAATAAAAAATACATATTAAGAAAATAAAAATCAGAAATGGAAAAAAAAAAAGAAGAGTCCTGCCTGGACTGGCTTTGAACGGTGATCCTCAGATCTCAGCCTCCTCCTTAGTAGCTAGGATTACAGGGGTGAGCCATTGGTGCCCTCCTACTGAGTTGTTAAGGTCCAGTGCCTACACAGCTGAAGAAGCCTGAAGCTTGGTTACTTTCTTTAAGGTTGGATAGTCAGAAGTTTTCTGAAGCTACACTCTGAGAGGCAAGGTAGTCTCATCACTTTTGCTGTATCTTAACCAGGGTAACCTGTAGTTAATCCCTAGATATTCTAAAGTTAACCTTGTTTTCAAGAGGGATCCTAATTCGGCTATCTAGGCTAACCTTTGTTCCATTTGTTTTAGCTGCCCTTGAGATTCAATGATGCCTTGGTACTAAGACAGCTTCGATACACTGGGATGCTGGAAACAGTTCGAATTTGTCAATCAGGATACAGCTCCAAATATTCTTTCCAGGTTATATACTTCTGTAATGATATTTAAATATATATTCATGTTAAGTAACTCCTACATATTTTGCTTAAATATTACATTGGAGCCCACCTGTTTATTTTCTTTTCGAAAAGGGTTAGAGAACTTGCTTCCATTGAATGCCAGCTAGCACATTGAGTTTGTACTGTAATAGAGTCCACCATTTGGCGGTTCTTATTTGATCAGTGTTTGCTAATTGTAAATTTTCTCCTAACATAGCAAGTCTTCAAACTGACTTCTCTAGTCATTGAAGTAATTTAGTCAGTTACCTATTCGTAAGAAAAGATTCTGTGTGCTTTTCCCTAGTTTCTCAGCAGGATTTTCTTTCATAGGGAACTACAAGGATGGCACACAGCTGTTACTACCAGCTACTGTTGCTGTGAGTGTAGAAATTCTATAGGGGCCTTTCAGCAGCTCAGTTCTTTGAGGAACAATTCAGCTGCCACCTTTGCTTTTTTGTTCTTGGGTGTAAATTTCAGATTCTTGTTAAATAGCTTGTTTTCTCTGGCCTTTAACACAAACTTTGTCAAAATGGATAATTAGCTCATGCCCTTTGTTTTTCTTCTGTTGCCATGATAATGTAGTATGTAGATCTTAGTATCCTTCCTCCTGCCTGTGTTTTTTAAATTAACCTTTTGTATTTTATACTGATAAGCACCTTTTTTATTTACTGTGTTTTAAAAGAAATAAAAAAGGATTTTTTAAAAAGAATAATCAAGTAATTTATGGTCTTATTTACATACAATTTCTTTTTGATTTTCCATTTTCTTTTTACTTTTCAGGATTTTGTAAGCCACTTTCATGTACTTCTTCCCCGAAATATTATTCCATCCAAATTTAACATTCAGGATTTCTTCAGGAAAATAAATCTTAATCCAGATAATTATCAAGTTGGAAAAACCATGGTAAATATATACAGCCTTTGTCAAAATTAGGTGTTGTTTTGTATTGTAATAATAATGCTTGATTTTGCTGATGAGAATATTTATGAAAAGAAAGTGTGTATCAGGTATCATAAGGTAATGGATTAAGCTAAGGTTTTGTGAATTATACAGTCAACATTAACTGCAGAACTTAAAACAAGTGTTATTCTGATTATAATTTTAAGTATAAACCATTTCTGACTGGATAGTCTACTGTGGTCTGCAACTCAGCTTGTCCAGGGCCACATTGTTCAAGTTCCTCTGCTTCCTTTAATCTCTCAACTACTTTCTCTGTCACCATTATCTAGTTTCTCAGGCTGGAACCAGGATCACCTTTGTATTGCCATCTGAAGTTCCAATTCTTCTAAACACTTCACATCTCCTTATTTCCATTCCTAATGCTTTCATTTTATTTCTTAGTTCTTCTCATCTACTTCAGTAAAATGCTGCTCATCTATGTGGTTCTCATCTACTTTACTCTTACAGTAAAATGCTGCTCATTTATGTGGTTTATTTTAGTCATTTCTTTTACTCATAATACCAAAATAATCTTAATACATTACTTTCTTTATGTTAACCTCCGAATCCCCTGATAACATTCTTTTTGTTACTATTGTTATTCATCATGGCCTTGAACTCTGGGCCTGGCTACTGTCCCTGAGCTCCTCAGCTCAAGTGCTCTACCACTGAGCCACAGTGCCACTTCTGGTTTTATGGTGGTTAATTGGAGAAGAGTTTCCTGCCCAGGCTTGCTTTGAACTGCAATCCTCAGATCTGAGCCTCCTGAATAGCTAGGATTACAGGCAGGAGCTACAGGCTCTGGGCTCCCTGATAACATGCTTGCTAAACTGAAACATTTTCCTCTTGGTAAAGGCCTTCATACAAATAGATACTCTCTTTACAAAAACAAATTGTCCCATTGTGTTATATGGACTCCTTTATCATTTCTAACTCCTGTGTTTCTGGGGTTAGACCTTCTTTCTGTATTCTTTGTTCTTTTACTGTTTTCCTCGAGATCAAGTATTCCAGCTCTTAAAGATGAAGTGCAAATTCTGTTTCCAAAGGGATATGTCTCATTTATCTTTGTGTTCTCCTAACTCTTGAAGATTTACTAGTAGAATGAAAAAGTTCACTAATGACTTTGGGCCATAAAAAGCCTTTAATACATGCTAGATTTCTAGAAGATGGTTATCATTTATATTATGATCTGTTTTGAATGTCTGTGTATCTCAATAATTTCCCCTTACTCCAACACTCAAAAAAAAATGACATTATTGTAGTGATTTTCCCAAAACAACAATGTGTAATAGTTTCAGGGACTGGAATTTTTGTACTTTTTCACCTTCCCAGTCTCCTCCTATATCCTAGTAGATTCTTCTCAATTAGACAGTGACTACTGTAGATCAATTGATAGAAATATTTATCAGTGTTTGCCATTGTAGTTGTTTTTTTCTAAAAGCTTGCCCCAGAAGTGGTATTCCTTGAAATAAATGTTTCATTTCTTCTTAAGCTGCATCCCCTGTCTTTCTTCCTTCTGTTAGGTCTTCCTAAAGGAGAAGGAACGGCAGCACTTACAAGACCTGCTTCACCAAGAGGTGCTACGCAGAATCATACTATTGCAGCGATGGTTCAGGGTCTTACTGTGCAGGCAGCACTTCCTTCGCTTGAGACAGGCATCCATCATCATCCAGGTGAGATGAGCGTGAGAGTGTCTACTTTTATTTTGGCCTGTGTTAATAACCAGAACTATTTCATTGTGAAACATGTAATAATAAAACTTCAGGGATGAGAATATATCTTGCTCATTTTTCAGATGCTGGACACCCACCAGAGTGCCAGAATATAATAGACTGTTAGTGTCAGTGTTGTTTGTGTAAAGCAGCTTTGACAGCTTCATGAATCCATTGTGGATTAAGGTGGTCTGCAGCACCTGTTGTAAAGCAGAATTAGTGTCCAGTACACTTCCAGTGGCAATGCCTTCCTTCACCTTGGTAATCTACCATTACAAAAAGCAAAAATCTTGCAGCACCAGAGTGAAAACTTTTTTTTAACCATGAACCATTTAGCACCTTAGCCTCTAATTATGGCATAAGAAATTTATCTTTTTTTTTTCTTCTTTTGTGTAACTATTTATGGTATCATGACAACCAGTTTCTGTTTTCTTCTCAGCGTTTCTGGAGGAAGTATCTGAATCTGAAGCAAGTTAGAGATGTGGCTATACAGAAGGATGCTTTTGTGATGGCTGGTGCAGCTGCCCTCCTCCAAGCTTCCTGGCGAGCCCACTTAGAGAGGCAGCGGTACTTGGAGCTTCGGACCTCAGCCATCATCATTCAGCAGAGATGGAGGGAGCTCTATAGGCGCAGGCACATGGCTGCTACCTGCATTCAGGCCAGATGGAAAGGCTACAGGGAAAGTAAGAGGTACAAAGAACAAAGGGACAAGATTATCCTTTTGCAGTCAACATGTAGAGGATTCAGAGCAAGACAAAGGTAATATTTTTAATATAATAGTGTTCCCTTTTCTGAACTACTTTGTGAATACTCTGCTTTGTACAATTTGTTTTCTTCACTAGACTGTGTTACCTCTACCATCTCTAATCCCTATATTGTCTGGTTTATAATGGAAGTTAAGTAAATATTCATTACATTAAATTGGATGAACACCTCCACCATCTGTAGTTAGAATTGCTGAGTGTTACTTTTACATTAGATTTAATCTTCAAAATTGTCCATTCAGCTATTTTTACCTTCACATTTAAGAATTAACTTAAAATAAGGTCATTATTAAAATGAGAGATTTCTTTTTGAGGTAGTGAATATTTTGGCTAGTGTGTCCTTGTAATGAAAATATCATCTGACTTGTGTAAATAGAATTTGAAATAGTGAAATCAAGTAGTGTAAGAAATACTAAGGTATTATAAAAAGAAAATTTCAAAATTCAATGTATTATACTCACTAATCATCCCAGAGATTTAGGAGTCTGATTCAGGCAGAGAACTGGAGCCCAGAATTCAAAGCCAGCCTTGAATGTAACATAGACCCTATATCTGAGCTTTTTTGCTCAAAGCAGGTGCTCTACCACTTCTTGCTTTTATTTGGGGGGGGGCGGGGTGAGGGGGTGAGGGGAGCTCGGTGGTAGGCTTAATTGGAGATAAGAGTCTCATTGACCTTTCTGTCCTGGCTGGCTTTAAACTGAAATCCTCAGATTTCAGCCTCCTGAGTAGCTAGGATTACAAGTGTGAACCATTGGCACCTGGCAATGACTTTCTTTTTTTTTTTTTTAAATCCTTGTAAATATATTTTCTCTAGTAATAACAAAGACATATTTGTAATTTTTTATATAGGTTTAAAGCTTTAAAAGAACAAAGACTAAAAGAATGCAAACCAGAGCATGAATTGGTGAATATCAAGGCATATGGAGCTCTGGAAATTCAGGGCTCAGACCCTGCAGAATGGGAGGATTGTTCTTTTGACAACAGAGTAAAAGCTATAGAAGAATATAAATCTGTAATGGAGAGTAATCGAATTAGCCGTGAAAGTTCAGTGGACTTGTCAAAAGAGTCTCCAGACAGGTGTCAGGAAAGAGGCCAAAGCTCAAGTGGTGTGTACGTGCAGGAAGAAGTGATTGTAAGAGAGAGGCCCAAGTCCCTGGAGGATCTGCATCAGAAGAAAGTGAGCCGGGCTAAAAGAGAGAGTCGGAGAATGAGAGAACTAGAGCAAGCTATATTTAGCTTGGAATTGTTGAAGGTCCGTTCTCTAGGTGGTGTGTCACCTTCAGAGGAACGTAGATGGTCTACAGAACTGATGCCTGACGGCCTTCAGTCTCCCCAGGGTACACCAGATAGTGAAAGTTCTCAGGGAAGCTTAGAACTTCTGAGCTGTGAGGAAAGTCAAAAGAGCAAGCAAGAATCCATAATTTTAGATAGAGAATTGCAAGTTCCATCACCTAAGGTACCTACCAGTATAAAGCTAGATTCCCAGGACGACGCCCTCATTGCCTCAAGAGGGGGTAGTTCTGCTCTGGTTCAGAAAGGAGCACTTCCTGACTCAGAGCATGTGAATAATGGGACTATGAAGGAACAGCGGGTCTGCAGTTCAGAACCTATCACCTGTTTACCCCAGCTGAGAGAGTCTTTTATTTCTAATAGTCTGCCTACATTTTTTTATATTCCTCATCAAGACCCCCTTAAAACAAGTTCCCAATTAGACACAAATATCCAAAGAAACAAATTATTGGAAAATGAAGATGCACAGAGGACAGCTCTTACTTTGGATATAAATAAGGAAGCTGCAAAGTACCACTTCTCAGCAGATCAATTGGGTTCTTTGAATACAGATTCTTCCAATACTGTACTTAGGAAATTAGAAAAGCTGAACACAGAAAAGGAAAAACGGCAAAAACAGATGCAACAGCAGAATGAAAAGGAGATGATGGAACAGATTCGTCAGCAAACAGATATTTTGGAGAAGGAGCGTAAAGCCTTCAAGACAGTTGAACAACCAAGGACTGGGGAATCTCTCCTGGCACCTTCTCTCGGTCACTCAAAGCAAAAAGTAGAGAGACCATCTTCTCTCCTTATCCTAAACACGGCAGGTAAAGGAGAACCTGGTGTACCTCCATCCCAGTCATCAGTAACTAAAAGAGATGCAGCTGTTGCCCCAAAAGACAGTTCCTCTATTCACTTACCTCAGAAGGACCGGCCTGTCACATTGTTTTTTGAAAGAAAAGGAAGTCTGTGCCAGTCTAGTACTGTTAACGAGTTATCCAAAACAGAAAGAACAAGCACTCAGCAGAATGTAGCCTGTAAACTCGCGAATAATCGCATTTCAAAAAGAGAACACCTTAGGCCAGCTCAGTCTTACAGCCACAAATCCAGTGACCCTTCCAGAGAGGGAAATACAAGGGCCATTTTCTTCACACCAAAGGACAATATGAGTACTTTCCCGTAAGTGAATTATTTTTGTGTATAAATGGGAAGCTCCATGGAATTTTTTTTATTGATGTCTTTTTTTGGGGGGAGGGGACCATGGAATATTTTTTTTTTATTCAGATGCCTTATATTCTACACTGTTTATGTACATGCTGCTCAAATTAGTCATTTCTCTTTGTAAGATGTTAGTCCCCTGAATTTGGGTAGTTATATTCTAGGAATCCTTGAACACAGATAGCAGAGGTTTTTATTTCTGCCTATTAAGGAAGCACTTGTGAAGGGCAATGCAGAGCTTGTAGATCTTGAAGGTTGTCCCAGAGCTATGAAGTAATGATTCTCCTAGAGCTATGAAGTGCCACATCCAAGCTGGATATTGCCAGGCTTTAGAGATTCTGATGTGCTTTTTCACAGCTGTTGGCATAGTTACTATCTTTATTACTGTCTCAGTACTTTTTGTGTGATAAACACATTACATAAAATTGACCATTTTCATCATTTTAAGTGTACAGTAATGCTAACTATGCACATAGCTGTGCAGTGTATCGCTAGAACTTTTTCATATTGCAAAACCAAAGCACTGTACTTACTGGACAACTCTTTTCCCCCTATTCCACTATTCTGCTTTCTGTTTCCAAGAGTTTCCCTCCTTCAGATAACTCACAGAAACAGGTGTTAATTCTTTTAACTGTTGGTACTTATAAGAAAGCATTTTGACTTAGAGGCAGTAATGAGAAAAGTTTTGGAGTTTGCTTTTGTTTATTTTCTGTTTGTGGTGCTAGAGAGCAAACCCAGGGCTTGCTTTGCACATGCTAATAAGCAAGTGTTCAACCATTGAGCTTCACCTCTTCCAGAGGAAAATACAGTTTAAAGAGAACCTAAAATCAGTATTTGTAGGTCTGGGAGTATGGCACTGTAGAGTGCTTGCCTAGCATGCATGAAGCCCTGGTTTCGATTCCTCAGTAGCACACAAACAGAAAAGGTGGAAGTGGATCTGTGGTTTGAGTGGTAGAGCGCTAGCCTTAAGCAAAAGAAGCTCAGGGACAGTGTCCAGGCCCTGAGTTCAAGCCCTGGGACTGGCAAAAACCCAAAACAACAAAACAGTATTTGTAGTCTTTGTATACAGTGTTCTTATGGGGTAATTAAATTGAAATTAAAGAAGGTTATGCCTTAAGAGGTAAATTAAATTTCACAATAAAAATGAAAATACCTATATCATAGTCTGAATATTTAATAAGCCTTTTAGGATTTAAAAATAGCATACAGAAGCTGGGCTCCAGTGGCTCAGGCCTGTAATCCTAGCTACTCAGGAGGCTGAGTTCTGAGGATTGTGTATCAAAGTCAGCCTGGGACTGACTTTGAACCTTTCTTATCTCCAGTTAACCACCAGAAAACAAGAAGTGGAGCTGTGGCTCAAGTGGTAGAACGCTAGCCTTGAGCAAAAGAGCTCAGGGATAGCATCCAGGCCTTGAGTTCAAGCCCTATGACCAACAAAAAATAAAATAGCATACAGATTTTTATAGAAACCATTTACAAATATGAGCAAGAGACTTTAGTTTTATTTTTCCACTGGAGTGTTTTTTTT